CTTTCTGCATATGTTTGTAATGAAGCTAGAGGGTAAAATGTCGCATCCTGGAGACACAGTTTTCTTGAGAACACGTTTGCTGACAACAACACCCACTTACGACTAACAGAGTGCGTGTCTAAACAAAATGCAAACATAGTTTAAACGATTATAAATGTAGGTTTTACTGACATATGTTTCTTAATATTTAAGTTCTTTCTCAAGGATTCGACCTTTTAAATGCTTCAGTGTCCTGGCCTCAACCTCGTCGTTTTTAAGGTGTTCCCACAAGAAACGATCCGTTGACGTTAGATCTAAGGAACTTTCTTTGCCCAACTTTTTTATATCATGATGACGATGTATAGGTGTTCCGTCATCAAAATACTCGTAAATGAATGTCGACATTAAGTTCAAATAATTGCAACAGTCAAAATAAAATAATCCAGCTAATTCTCTACGTAAAATGTCGCAGCCCTCTCTAACTCCTCGAAAAACTGCGTAGCCGAGAAAATGCGATCATGCCGGTAGATCACGCCATTTAATTAGAATGGGCTTCACCGCTTCAAACGATCTCCTTCAAAAACTGTGCACCTGGTTTATATTTTTTTAATTACATTTTTTAGTATAATTTCATGGGATTATTTTCTCTGGTCCGAATCATTCATATTTATTAATAGATTACTGGAATGTAATTTTTCAATAGGCAAGTTTATACAATACGATAGACACTTGATTTGTTGGTACCAAACTTATGACTCGATGATCCCAGAGACCTCTGACACGTTTCACTACAGCTGATCAGAATTCCTAGTCGACATCCTTCCTTCCACGTTGCCCATGAACATCCAGAAGAGTTCCATCCGTTTCAAAGATTTATTTGATTAAGTGTAAATTGCGTGGGTGGATCTGTCTGGACCTCCCTGAGATATTGTTTTTTTTTACGATCAATAGCATTATATAATAGGTCTTTATTCAGCAATGAATCTCGGTCCACTCATTATTTCCAATCAATTACAGCCTGAAAAGTAAAAACCGTTATAGGTTATAAGCTTAAGGTTGAAGTTATAAGCCGTTGAAGAACGTATATTTTTTTCACGCTTACGTTTTTACAGTTATCTCTCAGAAGTTTGCCTCTTAGCTCTGTACAAGAGTCGAAATATCCTGCTTTATTATCTAAAACTGAGACAGCTTATTGTGCCTTTATAGCAGCTCCATACAGAATGTGTTATGCATATGGTATAGAAACGGCTGACTTACCCTTATGGAAGTCATAGCGAACTTCTAAAGACTCAGGTGACCTGGTTCTTTTCCAGATATAAGAAATGAAAAGCATTACTTTCAAACATTCAGCTGTAATTAGCAGCAAGGAACATTGCACGTGTGCAGCCCAAATCTTATTATCTGCAAAAGCGGTACTTGCTTGTACGGTTTTTTTTCTTTATTAGCTCTTATTTCCTCTTTTAGCTTAGAGTATTGATAAGCCTACCAACAGCTTTCGAGTTTCACATCCGAAATCGCATTACATCAAACGACCAAATTATATCTGGTAACAGCTCAACTGGCCCTGCTACTAGGAGATCTCTGAAGGACAGCCAACAAGTTTGCTTTATTTATCCGCAAATTATTTTATTACGGAGAATAAAAGACTTTGTACGACACAACAAAATCTAGACATTCATGAGAAATACCGAATTCAAATAAATTAAACATGTTCGTCCATAACCAGAATATCATGCGGTTTGAGTTAGGCACTCAGCCCCATAGAAAAGTGAAGTTAGGTCATATTTACGATATTAGCCTTCATCTTCCTGCAAGCGTTATTGCCCTCAGCAATATTTTTGTTGCTAACGAAGACTTCGACATCATTTTAATTACCGACAATAAGAATATCGTTCATGGTCAACTCGCGGGAGCTTCAGAGCCATCATCAACCGCTTACCGTATTTCGAGTGTTTTTAAATAAAGACTAGCTTTGGAAAAACGGCCTATGAAGAAGGTCCTGCAGCAATATGTCAGCCTAAGTAACGAAAACTTAATTGGTGATTGCACCTGTTAGTTTTCAGTTGCTGCCAGTAGTACTGTGACTAGCAGTGGAAATCAGGACAATAAAAATAATAAAGTATTACTAATACTTTTTAATACTAATAATATTTTGCTAAAATACTGCCTGTGCACTTAAACAGTCAGATGTGATAAATATACGTACTTGCTAAAAGTCTCCAGAAGCCGGCTTATTTAATTCTCCCTTGAAGTCAAACAAATCTTTTTAGGTTTCGCCCGAAAGAGTGCGGTGCGGGACCTATGATCCAGAGGTCAATTTTTCTTTTAGAATGAACAGTTCGCTCTTTTCCGTCAAATTTGGTTGGTTGTAAGCTGGTGGTGAAAATTTGTTTTTCCATTTTCCAGGCTTACAGATAACGCCGCGCACCACCATTTGCATGTACCAGGGCGGCCAACGTCGTCCGTCCTGATCATTAACTGGGCCTATTTCTGGGTATACTTTTGTGAAAACTGTATCACGTACACAGGTGCACTCAATGTCTTTGCGTGTGTGTAACCAATTGTTTTGGAACTGCACTATAGAAGAAGCCGTTAACTCATCACTGTTAGGGTATAGCTGACCGCTATTTGAAGTGACTATTTTATATATATATATATAAGTATAATATTTACCTCGACAGAGCTACAATCAAATTTAGCATTTAGTAAAAGACAGGCGCAAGGCTAAGCTTGCGGGTCGCCCTCTACTTGACGTGTTAAGACCAATTAGACCAGAGTAACAAATACTCGTAAAGCTTGCAGGCTTTTGAGTTCGGAACAACGCAAGGCTAGGGCAGATCCAGCCGAATACTCTTTTGTGGGAAACCGCAACAATGGAAGAGATCGTAAAAACGTGGAAGCAAATACAAGAACAAAAAAATAGTACCCTTTAAGCAGTACAGACGATGCTACCTCGCAGTGTTATTGGCTGTTTAACTAAACGATTCCTAGTTGTTTCGATGTTGCGCAGGTGACAAGTAAGCGGTTAGAAGCATAGAAATTCTAAAATTCAAAATCGAAATCGTATTTGGAAGCGTTGCATCGTACTCAACGGCAGAGTCTAGCTTGCGTTATCAAAAACGGTGTCAGAAAGATCAGATGCTGAACATTAGAAAATTGATTATTTCAAAAAAATGATGTGTGTTAACTCGGAAACAAACTTATGTCGTTCCTACGACACGTTCATCAATACCACTCACGCTGCTATCATTAATCACGTCGATCACAGCCAGCCATTGCAGTGAATACCTACGACGTATCTGCGCCGTTGGGAACCTCTAGAAACCGTTTCGAACAGTGCAGAGTCTGTAGCATCCTGCTGGTCTGATCAATTATACATATCTTGAACGCGTAGTCGTATGCACTAGCATGTTACTGCTAGGATGCCTGGCACGTGCATCATCTTGAGGATGCATGCATCCCTCATATAACATAAACGTGCCCAGAACGTTCATAAAAGACCCGCTGCTGCTGCTGCTGCTGTTGTTGTTGTTGTTGCGGTTGTTGTTGTTCCTGTGATCCACTAATACTAAATAGCACATCGATCGAAAACTATGATAACCTACGGCACTACGGAGAAAACGCATTTCCAGAAGCTCAATAGAATCAGGTTGGCCGTTTTGAATCGTATGAGTATTGTGTGCATTGGTGATGGTTGTTTTTAGTGCGATTTATCTGATACCTCGTATCTTCTAGATATTGAAATGAAGAGTACAGCGAAGCCGTGGCCTCTGAACACGCTACAAGTCACCTTACATACGCCTATGCCCGCCTTACATGATGAGTTTCTATTTCACCAACCTGAATGGAAGAATATCGAAGAGAATTGTGTAGTATTATAGAGTGATGTTCAGAATATGGGCACACGTTTCATCTACCCCAGGGAAGCTTGCATTAACACTTGAAGTAACCGGTTGTTTGGACAGATCCGTTAAAGCTTAATAAAGTAGCAAACGTTTCTTAAAACGGGAAAAATCTATGTAGGTTCAGTAAGGTATAGAGCATCGTTTACAGCGTCCATGGCAAGTGAATGTATTATGTAATTTCGAACAATTCTCAGTCGATGCGAAATGTCAGCGTCGGGATAAATAGGAAAATTATATATTTCATTATTTATACAAGCCAATTCGCATCAAATACGGAATGATTGTTGTGCTATTTCTTAGTTCTTCTGTTGCGTTCTTCGTGCTATCGCGGGAATACTGTTGTTGGGTTAGTGTACGCTGCTGTCTTCACCGTATTATACTGTAATTACGTGATCTATTTGAGTTTCCGGTTTTTCATGTGTGATTTTTATCGCATCAAAACAGCCCAGCGAATTTTCAATATATAACTCGACAAACGTCTTCCGTACACCACAAACTCTGAAATTTATAAATTTAATCATGAATCGCATCAATTTACTTAAACATTACCTCTGGTTGAGGGCAACCCATTTGGATGTGAAATGAATTTTTTTTTCTAAAAAAGCAGAAAACTTATCGAAATAGATGCCTTTGGATGCAGTTGCGCAATAAGCCTTGCAAGCAAAGACAGCATCAAGTCTATTTAATAAACTCTTTTGCTGTTGAGATTTGTTTCAAAACTCGCATATTTACAAAAAGAAACTAAAAATTAAAAAAAAAATACGTGGCTAATTTTAATAACAAGTGCAAATTAATTAATCAAGCTTTATAGCAACCTTCAGTATTGGGTCGTCAACTCGTGCTTTTTAGCTGCTTGTCTCAGCAGCTCGATCTACCTTAATTAATGCTTCGCTATACCGTATTTCTGTGTCTCACTAGCGGAAGATAAAATGACAAAGTCGAGCCAAGTTACGTGGTTAAGCTGTTCGGCGCAAGATACAGCTTATCGCATCATTAGCTCTAGGGATAAAGGGTCAAATTCTGAGGATGTTTCGATTTCTGGGTCGAGGAGGATTAACGGACTCAATAGATCCGTACTTCATCGCGACACTGACGGAAGGTTGCGTATGACGTCAAATCGCTCTAGATACGAGCGTAATGCTAAAGTTCACGTCGAAGATAATCTGGACCGTCGATGTGACTACGAGCCAACAAGTCTGAAACACATCAAAGAAATGCTCATGAACACCTGGGCTGACCTCGCCGAAACGCGCTCAAAAAAAAAAGTTTCCCAGTTTGTTGTCGGCTACTTTGAAAGACGAATAATGATTTATAATGATTTACTTAGGAGCGAGTTTGAGCGGCATTACAACGATCCTGATTCTGATGAACTCACTATTGTCGAGAGCGATTCGGAATTGTCCAAGGGAGAGTATGGATTCGATGGATCTGGTATCACGTGCAGTTCGGAGCACTGATGCGTCTGTATGCGCTGTGAACTAAAACTCAATAAAGGAACTAGCGAGACTCGCCCATTCTTATTGTTGTCCTTAATATATCAGAAAACAGGCCAGTACAAGATAGCTGTAAGTACGCCACTTCTTTATCCACTCGGTAAAGGCTTTTATGACACGTATTTATTAAAATCATATTTAATTGTATTAAAAAGTAATTTTGAATAAAAATTTTGCCCAATGAGCTATGAGTCACTTTGCATTGGTTGTACTTCACTCGTTGAATAGCTTTTTGTGTTCCTTGATTCAGTCATACCTCTAATTATTGCAGAACTAAAAAAAATGGTTATTGGTTCACAACCTAATCAATATTTATAAATCAAATCCAAGACTCTATGAACACAGAGATGCAAGTTAGCGTCTGGCAATAGGGAAATACTTATTGGTTTCTCTATTCGTTCTAACTAGACGTTGACTGTGCCTTCACAAATTCCAAAAAAAAACCCAAGGAGATCACGTAAGAGAAGGTGTAGTATAGTAATCCTTGACTTCAAGTGCCCAATGAAAGCACTGCATATTCAACGCTTCAACGCCTTGTTTCTGCTACGTAAATGACTATGTAGCTTAAAATATCTGAATTTAAATCAAGTACAGCCAGAAGTACCGTACTATATTACTGAGTGTTTTCGTTACGAGATGTTTATAGCGTAATCATGATTTCAAACATCTAAATCCATGATTTTGTTCGTATGACGATTTACTTCAGTTCTCGTTTTATTTAAGTCGCCTAACATTGTTAGCAGCGTCCAATTGCACGCTGAACGTCGTAACATGCGTAACGCAAGATTCCCAGATGGTATTTCTAGGAAGAGGAATTATGAACTAGATCACATCCTCGTTAACACGGTCATAAATCTATGTCAACCAGGTAAGTACGCAGATGCCGTCACTTAGTACGTGTCAAAATGAAGAGCGTGCATTTGAGTCAAATGTGAAGTGCAAAAGGACCACTCCATGCACAACAACTTCACTTGTTAGCTGACTGAGTAAGCCGACCAACGGCAGTCCCCTCATTTGAAATGTGTGACTCCCTCTACTCGGTAGGAGTATAGATGGCGTAAGTATCCTATCGGAGGCACAGCAAGTTGAATAGAACCAAGCGAACGTTTCTAATACTTTATAAGATTTCTAAATCACGATTTCGAAACGACACGTATTGGCTTTTAGGAAACTCGTGCCCGTCTCTGTGGGCAAATGTTTCTTTTGCGTTTGATCGTTTTATGCCTTCGGACAGCTCTTTATGACCTCTATAAAGCTGCCGCTAATTTTTATCAAAAAATGCAGACCAAGTTTAGGTATCAAACGTAGCTAAACTGTATACCAGAAACAGCATGTTTATTTCTTCTTGGGCTTCTACCGAAACCAAAAAGCTGCCGAAACACTGAGTAGCCGCAGCATGTACAGTGAGGATTCTACAGTATAGTTGAGAGCGCTACTGAAAAGTAGCTTGTTTAGCAAAAAGAATATCCTCGACGCGCTTCACGTAGAGGACGCACTTTACTAAAATTTTCGAGTTTGACGAGAATTCACTTTAGACGCATTTGAAGGACGGTCATTATCACCGTGGGACATTGGTACTTACCCAATGTCCCACGGTACGTAAAATATTTTCTGGATTCCTTCCGCAACCTTGTGACATCAATCAAAGTTGGCGTCGCACCCCTTTCTTTCTTTTCCATCCAACTTCGGCTCTTTCGAGGTCCAAACTGAATTATTTTATAATCCAAACGAACTGATATTCACCGCCTACTAATAGAAAAAAAATCCATTCAATCAACTATAACACCTGACTCGCACCAGATGAAAAAAATAGAAAAGGAAAGTACAAGCTAATAATGGGAACTTCTTTCTCAGTAGCTTAATATATACACTGCCCCGGTAATTGGAAGGTGGGTTTTAGAGGATGCTTTGCCTTTAGAGTAGGTACGCCCCATGTAATCGTTTTATGTTTACGAATCTATTGGGAAACTTTGGTTTCAACAAGGATCAGTGTGTGGTTTTTTTGTACAAGTAATACTATATTAAATAAATAAAAATTTTATAAATATGTGCCTTTGTGTTTTTGGGTTCACTTGCCTTCGCTAGAAAAAAAATTGGTTCAGTCGTAATCCTAGTGTGTCTCCTTGTTAATGGGTGTTTCTTACTGCACATTTTCACCATCGGTATTTTCATAATCCGAAAGAAGATATTTGTACAATAAAGAGTTTCTGATAGCAAAAAGGACTCAGGAGGCAGAGATCGGTGATTGTCGACAGATACAGGTAGCCTGTGTTATGTGCAAATTAAAATTTTCCACGTCCGAAAATCCTATTCGATCCTACCCAACAAAGAAGCATGGAACTCACAGTTTGATACCTGGAATGATCAATCCCTGTGATTGCCCTAAGGTTTAGTTGAAAATTGGTGAGTATTTCCTGTTTATCAAACGTAACGTCCACACTTGAGTACTATTTTTAACATGAACTAACGTTAACATAGTCGACTACGGTATAAGAAATTTTTAACTAATTGCGACCGCGCAACTCTAACACGACTGTATCTGGCATGTCAGGTTTGTTGTTGCACAAATAATCAAAAGAGCAAAATAAACGTATCTTACCGTCTCTAATTTAAATATATGCGAGGCTAAATAGAATTCTTAGACGTCAAGACACCTTTAATATAAAACGCAGTTTATACTTATACGTATAATGCTATAAGTCTCCATCACTTATGGCGTTTTAACTCGGTTTCTGAGCTTTTTCCCGTAAGGTGCACGCATCGTGCTTTTTAAACTGAGTGCCAATAGCTACTTACTTCATGTTGAGTCTCTTCTTGGATGCTCGCCTAATAGGGTACCGTCTTGGGACTCGTCCACAAATCTAATCTGAGTAAATAGGTTCCTGCCGTTTGCACCTCTTTCTGCATAGTGGTCCAAGCAAAAGGCCAAAAAAATAAAACCAATGATATTATTAGCAGGTAGCAAAGAAGACAGTATTTCGAATACTGACATTACTAAGAGCTCGAGTGACAGTCTGTCTCTGCGAAATTTATGATATACGGAATACTGATAGGCAGCAGATCACTGATGTTGTGAAAGACAAACAATGCTAGCCTTCAAATCTATGTCGTCACTGCGTAAAAGCAAGGTAAGAAGCTGCAGTCGAAGGCCACGAGAAAGGACACATTACAGCTTTGGTGCGCAGTGAACAGACAGAGCTTATAGCTTTTCCGCTGCCGGCCAATTCAGCATTTGAAAATGATATGAAGTGTCTGGACTTATCTTCTTCGTGGTATGTACGATACATTGATATCGCTACCGAAAATCAAGTAGAATAAAACGATAACAAGCAAAATACGCTCCTAAGGCTTCAATATGTCTGGAGCTTTAGGTCAAATATAGGGTTTTACGGCTGCCCTTTAGTGCGAAACGAAGCTGAATGAACCCGAAATTGACCCGAATTTTATCGTAGTAAAAACTGCTGGCTATTAAATTGTTTGTAATTTAGGTGTTGTGATACATCACATTTGCAATTAGTCGAGACGTTCTTAGCGATTTCACGTTACTTATATATATTCATTATGTTATATTCTATATATGAGACCGAATCGGTGACTTGCCCGATATAGTAGCTTAGCCAGAAGATCCTAATAACGAAATCAAGTTGGACGTTTACCCTTGTTGATAGCTTGTGGAAGCATAGTCTAAGAACTTTCGGAAAACTTTCCAAGTGTTTAAATCGGGTAAGGCTTATTTTTACTGTGGAGTGAATATCCGACCAGAGATTAGTGCCGGATTGCTTCTAATTGTTATTTGTTTGCGACTAATAGTACAATCTCAAAAAAAACTAGAAATTTTCTTGCATTTAATTGACGAATCTTACTTCGGTCAATATCAAACATGGATCTGCTAAATAAATCCAGCCTTTACACGTGTGTAATTTATTACGTTTTACTAGCTTACACTTATGAAAAACACTTTTTTGTTTTTCATATTTTATTTTTTATTAATTTATCGAGTAACGAATATGCGTAATTATGATATAGTATTATTAGTATTACAAAACTACATTAACCTTTTGCATCTAGTTTCAGTGAATTTTGTTTCAAGACCGACAAGTACAAAAAAAATAAAATACAAAAAACATATTGATTTATAAAGGGCCTTTCAAAAAAGCGGAAATAAAGTTGGCGGTATGCTTTAAAAACCCTGATTTTAAATACTTTTGCGAAATTCGCTGCTCACCTATCAGTAAAATTCTCACGCAAATTAACGTAGGTTGCAGTCGTAAAAGTCTTTTCAACTTTTCCGGGTATAAAAGCACAGCTCAGGCCGTATCAAAAAAACCTGATCAAAATCTGGTTACCGAAGGCGGTGTTGTGTCTGTAAAATCTTTCGCCTATAATGTGAGAGCCAGTTATTGAATCGGTCATCTGATAACACTGCTACTGCGGTCGAAAACCTACGATGGCACTTCGTTCTTTCTTCTTAAATAGACCAAATAGTCAAACAAAAAATAATGTTCACTCCTGAGTTGTTGTTTCTCTGAATCGTCACCAGGTGAAAAAAGAAAGTCTTCTGTGATCTACGTCCGATACCTAAGCCGTTAAGTAGTGCCGAAACGGTTGGCTCTTAGCGCGAAATGACGTGTGCCTACGCCTGCATTCTAACCCAGATCACCACGTATCCTTAAGCTTAGCAGGCCAATACGTTACCCACTGCGTAATTACGGAAATAATCACTAGGTAAGACTAAGTTGCCGTAACGAGCATGAGGTTTGGTTATTAGCCACCCTGTTATTTTCATTACATCGATTTAATAATGAAAACTACAGAGCGAATACGATGTTGTGCGTGAAATATATTCTTTAGTCCATCTACTTTTTGGGGCATATAAAACCGAAAATATTTATCAACCCAACTGTCATTACTAAAAGTTTACGCTTGCGAGCTTATCCAATCAAAACAACTTCTAGAACTGACTTAATTCTTTTTTGAATCGCTAGAGCTTTATCCTTAAAAACGACGCCTGGAAATGGAGCCTATCCGTTTGCTTTTAAGGGCCAAATTTTGTTTTCCTCATAGGGTATATTCATTTTACTAGTAGACTCAGGCCAACAATGCCTTCGTCACTTGTGTTTAAACTGTACTGTAAAAGAGGATACTAAGGAACAGCCAGTTAGCCGCTATTCGACGTTACCACCATCGTATATATATAATTAACCTTTTATTCCTACAAAGGTAATATAGAACGAGTCCGGTAGTAAAGCGTGCGCAGGCTAAAACTTCGATGAGATGGCGTCCTACTATATTGTTAATAATCAATGTATATCTGTGAATTAGCTAGTAGAAAAACAGAAATGCCTATTAGAAGCAAAATAGCTGTTGATATTCTTGATTTTTATGTAGCCACATAGTTTTACCATGTAGTGTTTACAAGATTACTTTTTTAATTAATTAATATAATAATAAATAAATAATAATTAATAAATTAAAAATTTTAAGCAATTAGTTTTCTGAAAAAAGTAATTAGATACGTAGGTGTGTCTGATTGCCTATTATGCAAAAAGCTCAGAAGCTGTTGTAGATTTCGGAATGCTTATAAACCCCATATAATAACCCCCACCTCATTTTAAAAGAAATGCGCATCAGTTGAATTAAGTACTTATGCAACAAATATGCAAGATGTTGATTATAATAAGTAAAGGCAGAATAAAACCTTTTCAGCTAACCTTAGATAACCTATTTTTCAGGTGATATATATGTATATGTTAGTTTTACAAGCAAATCTGGCCGACTTTGAAATCGAATAACTTTTGAACTACGCGCTCTGAATTTTGGCTGGTGAATACTCCAATCGTCTAGAAACTGTGCGTATAATTCGGTTATATTCACTCTAGGCAAAATAAGTTCAGAAGCAAAAACGCCTTTTAGTCTTGAAAATCAATGGTTTGTAGTCAAAGGGCACAGTGCTATGGAAATTTATCGAAGATTGAAGGAAACATTAAGAACGGGGCCTTAAGCGAGTAGGGGTATGGTGCAAACACTTCAAGGACGGGTATTGGAGTACTGAACAAGGACGGATATTGGAGTACTGAAGACCAACGAAGAGGTGACCGCACGCTAGCGCCGACGGAGAAAAACGCACTACCGCAACCAAAAACAAAGTCTAGAGACTAAGAGGTCTGCCGGCCAAAACTGGCATTTCACATGTAACGTGTTACAGAATTATAACCCAAATACTGAAGATGCAACGAGTTCCCGTAAATTGACTCCAGGACAATCGGAAATACGTACAATATATTCGATATGCAAATCTCGGAACTTTTAAGAATAATAAAATCCGTTTGGAGAATGCGGTGGCTATAGACGCGGCATGGCTTAATCTCTACCACTAGCCGGAAAAAGAATAAACGACAGAATGGAAAAAAGTCGAGTTCGGTGGCAGCGTCGAGTAGGCTTCGACTGACGTCATGGCGGTACCTTAGTGGACATCGGAAGCATCTGCTACTATGAAGTACTCACCAAAAATTAAATAATAAATGTGGCCTGCTATTTAAAGTTCATCAAGAGACTCATAGGCCATTGGCATGGCAATCAAACCTCGTTGCATTGCCTCCATTAATATCGTGAACCGAGCGAAGGATTACGGAACGTTGATTTCGGCTTGTTTACTCTCCCAATCAAAGTCACTACGAAGTTCCCCATGCCCTAAAAGGACAACTGGACGGCAAACTAAAAATTCGCTATCGATTTATTTCGAAACGCTATATATATAGAAAGTACATATGAGAACGCGAATAATAGATGTGTGGCTGTCCAGAAGCTGCTAAAGCGCTAAACAAATGCGTAAAGAATAAAAAATATTACCTCTAACACATGTAAACTCACCATTCTAGGTTGACAAGTTCAAAAGGTATTCAATTTCGAGGTTCGCCAGGTTTGCCTGTATATACATGTATAAAACTAGAGCGGCAACTATAACTAAACTTTACTGTACTTATATACTTTGACAAACAAACAGAAAATATAACCGAAAATAGATTTGCTGTTAGTCCATCCAGGGGTTGAACTATATAAAAGGAAAAAGAAGTGACTCAGCGGATCATTATCGGACAACATTGACCCAGCATCGAGTGCTCATATTTAACCGAATCGCGTTGTTCCCTTCCAATGAAGCAGTTCCTGCCAAATGTCGTAGAAGCCAAAAACTACATTTAAAAAAAATCATAATGGATGTCAGATTTATTACCGAACTAGAGCTTTACACATAACACAACGCATATAAGCTACATTTATTAACACGAAACTAACGATAAAAAATTTCTTTCAAATTTTAACGATTTAACGATAAAAACATTTGCAGCGTTCTTACACCTATTCTCATAATGTTTATTTGTCGTCACCGTAGATAATGATACAATTTATATCAACTTAAGCAACTAAAGTCTATATAAACTTTAGACAACTTATAAAAAGTTTAAACCTACATCCATCGTATCATTTGATTATTCAAGGCCACAATATCTACATTCTTTAATGACCTGAATTCGATACTGCTATATATATATATATATATATACACTCCCCTATTTACCAATTTTTCGTTCGGGGATCCCTAATAAGTTATAATATATTATATCATGCGTCTTAGATTTATTTGACAAACCCTTCCCCATCTCGATTAGTATCCGAGTGTACCTCAGACAGGTGATGATTGCTTGGGTCATGTCAGTATTTAGCAAAGCTGCCATCAAGTCACTGAGGATGCGGACCCTCGATCAGATTTTATCGCGAACTTCGCAAAGAAATGTCTGATATCACATGTCTTGCCGAGAGGAACTCTCGCAGTGTTCAATTCCCACAACAATCTTAAACCCGCCACGCCACAATCACTAACAACAGGAAGGGTAACAGTTAAAAAGGAATTTAGTTAGGCGTACAAATAATTACGTATGCCCAGCACAACTAGAGCATATCTGTCTTACGCGTCATCACCGGCGGGACTTATTCCCGTCGATACCATCACTCACTAATTTTCAGTTGCTCTAAGTAAGCTTTGAAAAAGTTCACTTTGAATCGGCCCGGGTGTTCGTATAATAATTACAAACTTAGCAAGTTGCTAGTATCACATCGAGGCAGCGTCACTCAAATTACATTCCCAGTCGTGACTTAACAAGGCGTTCCTTTTTGGTTTGATCTTTTTCGCCAGAGTCTCAGCGACCCACTAACATTTTTATGACCGGATGATGGATGTGAACCCTTCATACCGTTCCCTAGGGACAATCTCATTTCTACTGACATGTGCCCTTCTCGGATATGGATGAGCGCCGTACAGGTAGCGCTTGTTGGATGTGCCACTGGGCTCTTTTCCACGCGTAAGGTTTGCACAAGTGTTTCTGTTTGCTTCCACCATCTACAATTTTTTGAGAAACGTCTTCCCTTCAGAGAAAAGGACCACATCCTATAAATTCATCCATGCTATTCCTCATTGACCCATCGCCTATCTGTTTTAGCAAACCATTCAAATCTCTACCAGTTGCGAAGCATGTGAATGTTGGGGTACGCTTGGGGGGTTAATACCGTGAGTCTCGTTGACCAATTTTTATTACAAAGAAACTTGCCTATTTTTATGAAGCGCTTGCTGCTATAGTTGTACCTACTGCTTAGCAGATAAGAAAAAATATATAAAAATATACAGTACACACTCTAACTAGGAGATTCTGAGGCGTCAAAGAGTAAACGTTTGTTACACAAAACATGATGCATATTTCGTTCATCCCATTTACCTGTTTTAGTGCACAATTGAATATTGTCCAAAAATGTCTGTTTTTAAATGATTACTAGAATTAATGTATTCTTCAGGCAATTTCCTATAGTAAAACACAACCTGATTTTATTTGCACAAAATTATTATACCGCATAGCATATTTTTATTTAGCTTATTCACCATTCATATACATTATAGCACAGTATTTACAGTCATAAACGACATCATCCGTTTATGTAAAGTCACTCCTCGAACCTACACTATTTTTTACTTTAATTAACATATTCTATAATTTCAAATAGATTACAGTAATAATGAGTTAGGTTAAGGTTAATATGTCCCGTGACAACTCTGTGGGTCACGTATTTGTCTGCTAATTTTAGGGACAAGTTGTGGCGGAGGTTCGAATCGGGGCGTAGACACACGGTTCGTTTCTTGCTGGCAAGGGCCAGCTGTCTGTCTGCTGCAATACCAACTTACCGGACGTTAAACTCGAAACATAGAGGTTAAGGTTAATATGATACTAATTGGCATTATGATTCTTATTCATAGTATATATTGCATTTTAACAATGACCTTCCGTCAGTTAGTTATTGTTAGGGTCCGTTGGTGTTAAACTTATTACACAAAAAATGTGATTTATTGTAAATTTCTCTACACACAGAAAATTATTGCGAATTTACTTCAGCTTACAGGGCAACACTTGCCTATTTTTTGTATAACGCGCTCGACATCGTAATACCATATTTTGTTCAAGGTCCAGAAATGACCTTCTGTATTCCACTATAATTACGTTTTGGGTCTAGGTTTTATATATATCTATATAAATGTGAATGTGTCTGTTGTTAAGCCTAACTTTACATCATTTTCACCGATGCATTCATAAGGCTGTTCTGCGCTTTTTAAAAACACTTAGAGCCAACAAACAATCGTGATATATATGACTAATAATCCTCAATCAATATGAACGGATAAACTTGTATACTGATAAATCGAGGGAGGAATAAATCTAGGTGATTTGTCAAAATATCTAACTTGAGAAGTATTTCATGGCCTCTTTTCCTTTTGTCAACCTTACGCTTTCCCGTTTTATAAACGAATTTTTGCTAAACATTGTTTAGAAGTAAATGATCAGCTATCGCCGTTGCGTAGATCTTTAATTTTGGCTAGAAGGCCGCGCATTTTCTCAAACGTGCCCGTTGCACCTGGCAGGTTCTCGAACGGTATATGATCGGCTACACCGATACTCCATTTTTGCGGATCGGGAAGTGACACAACTCGTGATATGGAGGCAGGAATTGGAGTTCCTGGCACAGAACCCAGCGACAACGAACGATGTAGCTTTACACAACTTTTGCTCGATGTGGGATCATCCATTGCGTTATCTTGTTATATTAAAGCAGAATAATCGACACGAAAACATTAAAATTAGAGCATTACTTAAGAGCATAACTAGATTAATTATCTTCGAATTGTCCTGACAAGCGCAAAATTAAAAAGTTATACCTAATCATGAACTTACTGTCCCTCTTTGCCTCCTTATTATCGTCCGCGCCTTCCGTAGGCCTTTCCTGAGAATCCCTTGTCTGTCCAGCCTCGTCTATTCCGTCACTTTCAATGCTCTTGCATATTTTTTTCGTTGCTGGGGCTTCATCAGTTTTGTCCGTTTCTGAAGCAGCTTTTCCTTCACCAGCTCCATTTGAAGCAGTCCCACTCGTTTCATTCTTTGGTAATGGAAGGTTCAGTTTTCGCTTTAGAAGCGACTTCTTTGCAGCATCAATTGCGTTAAGAGAAGTAACACATCAACAATTATACAGTTAGGTTATATATATAGCACTTCAGTTGTTCATTATATCATAGTCCCGATTACAAGTTTATGTTGGGAAATAACTATTTGTAAAATTTTTTAGGCTATTACATTATTTACACATTTTATGACAGCTTATAACCTATGGCAGGTTATATAATAATTAGTACAATTGTTACTGTTAAATCCGATTCAAGGCCATTTATACATAGACGCTGGAGAATTGCAACAGTAACGTATTTGCTTACTCAGCAAGGAAATACGTAATGGCATAATGTATTTCTGTTTTGCTTAAGGATTGCTAATCTGTTCTGTGAAAGCCTTGTGTCCTGTTCGTACCTTTGCAACTTACTGAATTCTAACTTATGCTTCGACGCTACACAATAGTATAATATTATACTGATATTAACCTCGTCAGAGCCACCTGTTTCACTGTCCAACTTGCTTGCCGTATTTTTGGGCGGTAGTAGATTCATTCGACGCATAAATTTCTTTTGTGGCTCCTGCAAACACAGAGCAAGATGACAAGCATAACGTCAAAATTTGCAATATAAATCAAGAACATCACCATATATCAACAACCATGAATGACATATCTGTATCATAATGTGCCATATCTGAAATCATTTTTTGGACTTTTAGTATGCATACTTTGCCTCACGGTGTTAGAGACAAATATCAACTTCATAAACATGATCATATAATTAAATAAAGAAAAATATAATAATGTAGGGTTTCTATATCATCAAGCGGGACCTTTTCGGATGGGAACGGCTAATAGTAATTTTAATATTATTGTAGCCAAATTCAGCAAACGAGTATGTATATGGTATTTAAAAATAGTGACTGCAAGTTGTAAGTACCTGTTTTGCCTTCATGCTTTGCAGAGCGTTCTCTTTCATCTGGTGAGGTTGTAGGGGCGGCATACCCTGCCGCCTATGATCGTCCACACAATTAGATGGAAGAGGCATATTAAAACCAGGAACCTCAATTAACTTCGTCGGGTCATAGCGTAGCTCGTTGTCATCGTCTTCATCGGAGTCTAGATCGTCTGAGCCTGCCGATAACACTTCACCATCTTCAGCAGCTGCTTTTTCCTTTCTCGTCTTTATAGGACGCGTTTTCTTCACTGAAATGTTACGTAGCATAATTATTTTTTTGCCATTAGAATGATCAATTAAAATTCTAACTTAAATTATGACAAATTATAAATAATTCATACTTTAATTGACCTCAGCTTTATTTAGCTACACTTGCCATTATTCATTGGTGCAAAAAACTAAAAATAAAATTTTGCATTTCCAGGCTCACTATGTCTCTATATGAGCATAGTGTCCAAAGATAATTAAAAGTAGCTCTACATATCAGTTTGTAGCCTGGATTCTCTCTATTGAATTTGTCTGTGAACTCATTAATGACGAACTTTTTTTAATACAATATTTTACAATATATTAAAGTTTGATGCTTAGTTTTACTGAGTTGCACGTAACAACCAACCTTCGTTTCCATGGCCGTCAAAAATCTTCAACCCGGAAGTCTCAACCTCAGCCTCCTGCAACCAACCTGGAGGATACCCAAGCACTCGCATCCTATAAACGAATGGTGGTAACTCGTTCCGTCGTACGCCTATAGCTTCAAGAAGACGACGACCCCAACGTCCTGGTGTAAATCGTGAAGCCCGTTCTTCATCTTCAAAAAATCGCGTATTCGAACATCTAAAAAGGACCAAACGGAACGGTAGAGCAGTTCGTGTTCTGATTGCTATAAAATTACTTTATTATAATTAAATCAAGAATAATGCTATTATAACATAGTCGCATACCGCATTGAAGTTATATTATGTTAGAGCTCTGCACCAAACATCAAAATAGCTATGAACTACAGTACAGCTCTCTGGTTAAAAACTTACTTTAACGTTTTTTGTCTTCAAATATTGCCGGTATGGCTAAGAAAGCTAAGACTTTTGCTTCAAAGTTGGAAACAACTGGTTCATGCCTTGCCGTGCAACATATGCACATCTAACCTTAAGTTTTATATTTAATTTAACCTTTAAGGTTTCATGTTAAACATGCCTTTACCATTATATATTCTTGCGCATACTTTATCTGCTAAAAAATGTTTATATATCTTACGGCTGTTTTGGTTGTAGTTTCCGACGGTTCTCGGCTATGGCTCTCCGATCAATAGGCTGAGTGCATTCACTCATGTGGTGATCTCCCAGACAGTTGAAACAACTTCTACTTCCAGGATTTCCGCCTGAAGGCGTTACTGCTGAATCATTCTGGTCAAGGAGTGAACTATTTTTCACGCTGTCATAACTGAAACAGATATACATTACTATTAGTTTACTCTGTTACCTTCGAAGAAGATTATTTTCATATTTTCATCGCACGTATGATTCTGTAACAATTTGCTGCAGAAACCTTGCCCTATGTTACAAAGTATTTACGAGAAGGGCAAAGTTCCATGTTGTACAAAAGCAAAGAGCGCTTTATTTAAAACAGACCTATTTATAACGACGATCCCCTATGAGGTGATATGGAAAAAGGAAAAATTTTGTTTAACGAAACTTTATCCCAAACCGTATAGAAACACTATACTGCGAACATTCCAACATTTTTTCGTTCATATGCCTGTTAGAAAGGTTCTACAAAGACCTCTTTACAGAGGCCATTGCCATTCTTAAGCAATAGCGGGCTCTACGTTGATTGTGTTATTTGAGATTGAAGTTACAGTTCACATGCACTTAGCCATCATTATACTAAATATAAAACTTGTAGACATAAAATTTGTTTGCCGTGAGCCGCCGGATTCGCAGGAAAGTTTTCAACGTCGACATATAGCGTTTATACTCACATTTGCTTATGCGGAGGTGCGGCTTCTGTTTTCGCTGTATCAACATAGAAAAGCTGTGAAAGATCCGAATTGTTCTCCCGAATTAGCTGCTCGAGGTGATGTTTCACGTGGCCGAAGTATTTCCTGTAAAAATGATCCGCAAAAACCAGCAGTGAAACCTATGAGATGTCAATAACGATTCTGCTGTTAGAATTCAAACATTTGTTTTAGACCCAAACATAATGCGAAAGTTTAGTCAAGTGGCGACTTTTGTATTATGTTTCTTTTAATAATTTACACAAGTATTTTCATACAACCATGGTTAGGGATACTAGATAGAAATGTATGGCGTTTCTAATGTTATCCTTCAGATCTGCAAAAATGTTTACTTTTTTCGCGCGAAACATGTGCACCAGCTTATGCATCAGTTGTCCCTTCTAACAAAAATTAATAGCTTAAAAGCTTAGTTCCATAGCAACGTTCACCCATTAATACTGATAAGATGCTACGGTAAAGAAAAATTCTACAATTTGATCCTTTTCAGTCCACGCAGCTATATATTATGATATTGAACAGGTGAACGACAAATGCACATATATATATAATCTAGCAGTATAAAGACAATTAAAACTACTGATGCATAGTTGATTCATAACCTTTACAGAAGTGCATGTTTTCGAAAAATACAGCAGTTTTATTAGTTGAGCGTCATTACGGAGAAGTACTGGTCAACGGTGCCAGTATGAAAATGTGTACCGTACATCTACACAAAAAATAAATGTAGAAACATAGATTATTCGTTGCTTTTCAAATACGTTGTATTGACTATGCCAACGACACTGCGCTAATATTGTAACACTCAGCAGAGGCTATTAATTGTCTGTTTGTCATTAGCTAAATTATTGCCTTGAGGCATTACTTATGAAGGTCCTGATTGTGAAATTTAATGATGCAAACTCCGCCTATTTCGAACGATTTTGCAGCAAGCGGCTCCGGAAGAGCGACTTTCTCGGTTTCTTCAGTTAGGGCACTCTCTTCGCCATTATTTGATCGAGGCGCCTAAAGTGATTCACAGACAAACATTAGTTGAAGCAATTTTAGCGTCTTTATACATAGCATTCAACCCATGACTGCCTCATTTTTTCCTTGAGCGCTTGGAAACAGTTCTTCAAATATTGATTAGTATTTCGTTTTCCTGGGAAAAGCTACGCTTGGTTTGGCGCCAAATTTATTCGTTGGCGTTTTTTCAATCGATTTACTGTGTTACATAGTAACCTTTGTGGGGTCACAACAAGTAATCGTGGAAGTTGACAAGGATTGTAGCTTTTAGTTTCACATTATTTCGAACCCGTAAAACAAGAAATATCCACTCACGAACTAACACGAAATGACAATTCGTAATATGGCCAAGAATAAGCAGAAACACGGAAACATTTGCCTGGATGAAACAAAATCGTTTCCATAGCCCAAAAAATGTGTCATTTAAAAAATATATATATACATATATATTTATTTATATATTAATATATATATATATATACATATATAAGGATTATTTATAGCTATTTATTTGTTGTACAAAAAATAATCTTCTAAGGTTTCGGCGGCATAACTGATTTTACGTCAATTGTCGAGCATAGCTTTTGCAAGATACCTCGTCGCCTGATGTCTCACTTGACGTATCCATAGCAATTTCGATTTTCTCCTCGATCGCACTATTATCACCACTGTCAGATTCCATTATTTATTTCGCAAAAAAACTGTACATAAGTTCGGCCCAAAATTTCCGTCTTCCTAACCGGGAGCAGAAAACTATGTTTTGGTAATCGGCAGACAGTATTCAAACATTTTTTTATCTAGTTTGGTGAGCGGGCTTTTTAAATTTCGTATGCCTTTAAAACCGAGCAGCCTGTCGTCGAAACGTTCATTGACTATTGTTATTCCTGTGAAGCACAGCCTGCTTTGTTTCCAGTCTCCCCATGCAGTCATCATGCGAATAAAATGTCGTTATCATCGAAAAAATTAGATACACTCTTTGATCGATTGTTTACGTTAGTAACATATACGCAACAACCAGACACACGCTACTGCCAGCTGGCAATAGATGGGATACAAATACTAAAAAACGTTGCTGGTCTCCAATAGTGAGGACACACGCATGTCAATTGTGCCGGTGTGTGACTTGTTGTGAAGCCTTGCATTCTGTCGATTTTACACGGTCAGTCGGTGAGCGAAGAGGGTGTCACAACCGATCGCCGGCAGTTCGCCGTGTATATGTATGTGTGTTGTTTGGCTAGGGCATCCTGTATGTGACTAAGTTAGTGTCGGCAGCAAGGCCGTCCGCATGCGTACGAGTGCGCCTCCCCAGTGCTGGTGCCGTGTCGTATCATTTCGATAAAGCCCCTGTACCGAACAAACGCCGTAAGAGGTGTTCGTGCTACTCGGTGAATAGCGCGCATTGCGCTTGTTTCCCTCTTATAAAACGTCTATGTACGAGTGAATGCGTGAAACCGAGTGATTCAGTTAAGAACCACTTCAATTGGTCGATAGGCCCTAGGTCGTTCTGATTTGAAGACGACATTCGGCCAGCACTTAAGTCACGACGTTACAGCCACATACCATTACGACGACTGCCATTAAACCATTGTTGACAGTAGTAGTTTGTTCCACACGAAACAAACAAATAAAAAAAACAAAGAAAACGACGCAATGTCCATGTTATCAGGAGTTGGAGGCCCCAGCAGCACCAGCAATAACAACGGCGGTGGCGGTTTCGGCTCAGCCGAGTTCGAAGATGATCTCCTCGTGTTTGGTTACGCGTGCAAGGTGTATCGCGATGACGCCCGGGCGCTCCAGGCTGAGAAGGCACTCATCCCCTGGATGGGCGATGAGCTTATCACCATCGACCGGTTAGTATCACAGCCCTCGGCTAGAGGCCAGAGTCAAACTAAAAAACAAATCGAAACTTAAAAAAAACCAACCCACCAAGTTAACCCCTGTGTCTGCTCACTCTATCCCTTGATCCCAAGATATCGTTTTTCATACTACTGCTGCTTTGTCACGTCCGTAGCAGGTTTTCCCAGAGAAAGTGAAAGAAAGCAAGCTGAGCTCTTCTTCTACTACTACTGCTACCAGTTCTGCTTGCCTTCATTCTCGCCGACAAGATGCCACCACACTACCGCCTGTCTTCCGCGATCACTGCCGCTACGAATCCCAATTCGTACCCTGCTTTACGATGCAGGGCGATGGCGAACCGTCAGTTGCAGCTGCGGCGGCGGCAGCAGCGGTGTCTAGTGGGTGGTTTGAGGCGTCAAATCGGAAGTCCCAAGCGTTTCACGGGGACTGTTGGTTGTAGAGATGGCTGTCTCTCGCGCACGGAAGGATTATAGGCAAGCGCCACTCCTAAGAAATCGCCAAATTTTGAAACGCAATTTCATATCAGACTTAGAAAGAGCCAACTGCTATTTCTATGGTTGTTGTAACTGGACTGGTTGGTATCATCTGCGCGCTTGGTTTGTTGTTGCTCAATAAATTCTCTCCATTTACGGGCAGCGTTATGTGTATAAAATGTTGGTTTACCCTTCCCGAGTGGGTGAGCTATGTCGGTGGGTCTGCGTTAGTCCTACTGCATAGGTTCACGACATATGAGAGCAATAGACAACAAATACTTGTGTGCATATACAATAGGAACAAGAACGGGTTAGTCACGGGGATTCTACGGGCATTGAGACCCGGTGGTGACAGGTATCTACCAGTGGCTGTCGGTGGCTCTAGGTATCATGTGGATTTGGCAATTCGATGGAGTGCTTTTACAGCAGCCCCTGCGAACGCTATCGATCGTATGGAGATTTCGAACGCGGATGATCCGGACCTATGGATGCAAGTAAGATTTTAGTCCTAAATGGACTACTCACGTAAGATTTTCACGTATTTATTCGTATCATGATCTCATCTCGTAATCTTTCTATCAATGTCTTTGTTCGTAATGCAAAAGTATAACATGCCACTTTTAATTAGTAACCTTTCGTGCTTAGTTTTACACTTTATGTACTTCTATAGATTTACTGGTAATCTGAACAGTAAACATGTCGATCGTTTTTACGTTTCCAACATTTAGACAGGTTTTTATTAACTTGATGTGAGATAGTACATTTTCACTGCGTTATTTCAGCTGTTTTGTTTTCGAGCTGCTTATTAAAAGCTGAATGACTACACAGCAACAACCCTTGGATTTATGCAGATTTAAATTTGAAAAAAATAACTTATTACAGCTATTGCGTTAGTGTTTCACACTAAACGCTCGTAAGCTACTTGGGTGCATACAGTCTTTGAGAACCTAAAAGTGCCAAACAAAGTTCTAACAGAGAAACAAGCGTAGCTTGTAGCTTCAAAAAGATCACTTTCTCAGCATTCGGCGAGCCATTCTAGTCTATGGTAGTTCATTGCCTGTGTTAACATGGTAATTCGACTATTTAAGGTACGACGGTCGAGGTCACCTGAGTTCGCTCGAGGAGTTTGAGCCCCGTCAAGGCGTCTGGGAGGAGCACTTCGGCTCGCTTGATCCTGAGGAGGCCGCTGAGGAGCAAATGGCGGAGGAAGAACGCTGGCTTTCACTCAACGAGTATGAAGAGGAAACGAGAGGTGAGCAAAGAATCTTAGAGAAAGAAAACTATTCTTATGAAGCTCTGAGGTGTCCAAAATAGACTAGTTATTGGGATTCTAACATATTATTTTTTTCACGTTTATAGAAGAGATTCTAAAACGGGCAGCGGCTCCAGCCGAAAACTTTGCTGAAATCGGGTTCAACTATGATAATTACGATAGTCAGGACAGCGGCGATCGAAAGGATGACACTGTTGGCGTTGAAAATCGACCTGATGATTTTGTCGACCCAGATGACAAACCATACAAAGTGCCCAAAGGGCTTACGTTGCCAGTAACTGTACCGAGGGTAGGTAATTTAATGCTGTAATTTAATAAATCCAGTTTCTTTCCTGGTCTTTAAATTTAACTGTTTTTGCGGAGTAATTTGTAATGGCTGGTACACTAAAGTGGATAAAATTCATTCAATTTTTATGAAAGCCTATTTGAAGCTGATTGAGCGTGAATTTAGCCACGTGCTGTGTGCTTGTGTTGTAGCCCGAAACCCGCCGCGAACACACAATCATCGAAAAAACTGCACAGTTCATTGCCCGTCAAGGTGGACAGCTTGAAGTGGTGATTCGAGTAAAGCAAAAGAACAATGCCCAGTTTGCTTTTCTTGATATAGAACACCCTCTCAACCTATATTATCGCTACCTCGTACAACAAATTAAGAGTGGAGCCTATAGGCCTGCAGTGCAGGATGATAATGGTAAGTCAAATCTCTTTATAGCAGATTTGCTAGTATTCGTTGCTAAGTAGTATTCGTTTTCATGACATATTTTGGATGACGGTATTTGCGCATGTCATAATACGAACTTGTTTCATCAGATATCTTAATGCCTTTTTCATTATTTGGTAAAGTATTGGTAAAGAGTATCGCGGAACTTTTTTCATTTAGTCGTGAATCTTGCTCATAAAACTGCAAAAGAGTTATAACTGTTTTCGAGCAATATTTCTCTTAAATTAGTAAGTAATATTAATGCGTCTCAGTTACAAAAATAGTTTTACAAAGTTAGTTTACAATGTCTTACTCTGATTCAATGCGGTGTATTAAATCCAGTAAACATAGTAGTTTCCCCCCAAATTAACCTCAAAATCTCGATTAACCCACTTAACGATGTGTCGATATTATCATTTTAGAATCAGGCAGTGACTCCGATTCCGATTTTGACGGCGGTTACCTTCATCCGTCATTGTTCGCCTCGAAAGGCAGCTCTTCCAAGTCTTCGGGACCACCTGAGGCTCTAAAAAACATTTTCAAGGCGCAAGCGTCTAAAACGAAAGGTACTTGCGCCTACTCACAGTTAATTGACAAAATTCGGCCCAGCATTGAGCTGGATCAGGAAGCGAGCAATGGACCCACAGCAGTTGAGAACGTTGGCAGTGTAGAGAGTGCCAGCAATGGAGATTCAAATGGAACCCCTGCGCGAGAAGAGCTTGCTGACACAGAGATTGTTTCTGGAACTGGTATTGCAGAAGACACCACTCCTCAGGGTGATTCTGCCGGGGCAGACTCAGTAGTTGTTGGCTTCGAGGCGCTTGTTGCCGTGATGCCTCCGCCACCTGACGTACAACCAATCGTAGATAAAATGGCGGAGTATGTAGCAAAAAATGGGCTCGACTTTGAGGAATCTATTAGAGCTAAAGGTATGCATTAGTGGTGTTTAATCACTGCATGGTTAATTATACAAAGATAGAAAGCACGTAATTAGTCATCAGATAATGAAGCAAATGATTAGCTATAGAAATGTTAATATTTATATGGATACTGAGAAATTTAAAAAATGAGATGGTTCGTGTTATTTCGTAATTTTTAAAGGATAGTCAATTGTTTTTGGAATAGACTGAAGAACACTGTTGGAGTCGATAGTAAACTGTTTTTCAATTAATAAGCTCTTTGTTAAGATTTTCGATAAATATACTCGTTACATTAGATGTGTCTGAAATGCTCGAATTTAAGAAATGATAAGATTTGATAATTTTATTTATAATCGTATTTATCAATTTGCAGGCGATCCAAAGTTCAGCTTCGTCGATCTCGGAAATGAATTCTATGAGTATTATCAATTTAAGGTCAAAGAATTCAGTCTGACTTTGAATGAAAGTACTGGTAAAGCTAGTGCAAAAAGCGATCAAGAGACGACAGCGCTGCCGGTCTCAACCGACAAACCTGTAAAGGTGAGCAAATCTCCGAATGCCCTTGAAAGAATCGCTCTTGAGAACTCCCTACATACGTCACCGGAGCGAACGCCAAAGGAACGGCGGGTGGAAAAGAAAAAGATGAAGATCAGCCTGAAGTGTCAGGAAAACGGCGGCGACAAAAAGAAGGAACAGACAAGCTCTGGTGTGTCAACAGCGCCATCTAACGGAGAAACAACTAGCATGATTGGTCCCTTATTGCCCTCGCTATATGACGACGAGGACGTTGAGGTTCGGGAAGACATTCTTGAAGAACTATCGAAAGCCGAAAAGAGGGCTTTATTAACTGCTGTAGTAAATAATACCAATCGAAAAACAGAAAACATCGCGGACGATAAAAAAGGCGATACAGGGGACATGTCGAAAGAGAGGCGACAAAGCGAAAGCGTTGAAAAAAGGAAAAATACCGATAAGGACAAGTCGAGAGATAAAAGTCATCATAAAGGAGAACGAAGTCGAAATGATGAAAAATACCAGAGAAGCAGCCGGGAACGACAGCGTGAGAGGGGTGATAAAAGTCGGGAGAAGGACAAAAGGCGTTGTATCGATGAAGTATCGCCCGATGCACACAATACGGACACTAGCAATTTAAGTCGAATGAAAAATGGTGGGAGTGGATCCAGCCGATCGGAAAGGGGTGACGGAGACGATGAACTAAAAAGAAAGCAATTAGAAAGAAAGAAAAAGCTAGCTGCGTTCTTGACGATGGTAAAAGAGAAGGATGGCGCAGGTTACAGCGACAAGAAAGAGGATATGGTACAGACTGACCTAAAAGCGAAAATTCGACATCTTAAACGAGCTATGGCAGATTCTGATGAAGAGCCAGCTTTAGGTGAAGCTGACTCACGGAGACCGCCTGACGAGCGGGTGGTCAAAGTACCTGTTATTAAGGTTTCAAAAGAGAAGGAAGAGCCACGACATGCAAAAATGAATTTAAAGAAACTTCGAAAAGAAACCCTGGAAGAAGGAGAACTCGTGGAAAATAGAACCTATGATAGGTAAGTTAAATTCATAATATCAGGCTTAGTTTATTAGAAAATAAAGATCGTCCGACTATTATCTCTGCACCGGTAAGGGGAAAAGCTAGTTGATGCTGCGATCCTTAGTTCTACTGTTCATTGACAGTTTTCATTGAAACTTACGTAACCGAATAAAATAGGAAATTTGTTTCCATAGTGGTGATGACTCCTATGAGCGACGTCGCCGAAGATCGCGTGACAGAAAACGTAGAATATCGTCATCATCGAAAAGTCGATCATCTTCCTCCGACCGCGAGTACAGTCGAAGCCGAAGGCGACACCATAAACATCACAAAAGTAAGAGGAATTTATGGTCAAACAAGCCGGAATCGATCATCGCGCGTACAAGTCGAATATGTGCTGACCTTAAAAAATTATTCGATCTTAATTTTGTGATGGCTCCTTTTCAGGAGAACATTTCGGTTTTTCGGTTATTTCGTTCCACTTCTGATATACCCACGGAATTCCATCGTTTGATTTCGCCTCTTATTCGAAATAAACCTGATGTCATTGATGATCAAAACAAAAAAAACAAATGACTTTTATATTTCGGAATAGGAGACCAGTAACAATTTGCACATAAGTATTAAGGTCAAGTCAAAATTCTGCTAAATCCATTGTGAGAAATGTTTGTTTCGTGGATGTTGATTTACTCTAGTGTATCAGCATTGACAGGTCATATGAAAAAAAAACAAGACTACCAATTTTCATATTACGTTGACTGAATTTCAGGTAAATCATCGCGGAGGAATCGCGACTAAAAACCAAAACACGCATCATATAAACCTGGGAACACATTGACCAACACTTATACAAGCAATGTCCAGAAGCGCATCGTATTGTATATATGCATACATAATTTATTGAGAAACACTGTGTATGATGGCAGTGATATTGTTGTAAATGTTATGTAATAAAGAATACTTTATTAAAACAGAAGTGAATTCGACTTGTTTTAGTAATCATAAACTAAACAGGAGCATTAAGTGTGGAAAATTCGTTATAACATTGACAAAAGATACTGTCAGTTATAAAGCCTGCTAATTGAGATAAATCATAACACTATATCAAACGCAAATATACCTTTCAGCATATGACGTTGTTTTAAAAAACAAATTCGGTTGTTGTCCGTTGAAATACATTATTTAGTCATAGAGCTTTCCCACAATAGATACAATTTAATTTACAATTAATTGCGAACTGCAGAGCGGGACTATGTTTTTTTCACATGCTTATAAATACTTAACTTTATTTACATCAAATATTGATAAATCAAGGAAATGTGCAAGCTTTATGCTGGCACACAGGTCTTCGTATAAATGGTGATAAATGCAAAATCATTTGTCATGTTGTACACGGGTATGCGACCCTACAAATTTTATGGTAAATCTGAGATCACAACTCCTCCTTCGTGATATCAGTGCCAGTTTGGCCTGTCCTGATGGCATCACTGCCTTGATCGAACTTTCCTTCGAGGAGGGCAGAGTCTTCCGTATCTGAGAAGTAATTTTCTTCTCCTGTATAATGAGTTGGGTAAACAATAAGGGGATAGGCCGAGGCAGCACGGAGAGTTCTTGGTGCGAAAGCGTTTTTCCAATCAGATCGCGGGTGCCTAAAGGTCGGCTAGATTTAACAATTAATTTTACTTTGCCTTGCGGCTACAACCACTTCTTAGATAGCTGAATGTCTAGCATTTCCAGTGAACCCTGTGTTAATCGTACGTTTGGGATTAAACGTTTGATAAAAGAATACAAAAATATCAAATCAAAACAAACCAATAAGTACTTCTGCTACTAGTAAGTGCTCAGAGTTAAAACACACATTAAATAAGAGTACTTCTTGTCATGTATGTAACTTCGTAATCCATTTTTGGCCTGAAAACCTAAATATAAATACGCATAACGCTATAATGTTGACCTCCATAATGAGTTATAGTCATTTAGGTATATATTTATTAGTCAAATCTAGCAATAAATATGCTACAAACCTGTCAAACATGATCGGTATATATTCATCGACTGGGACTATCTTTGAGAGCGGTTCACCATCGATCAATTTTTGAGCACCTCTTCGATTAATGTAGTAACTGAGGGTCCAGTATGAATAATCAACTTGAACAAGTTGATCGGTACCCGTTAGGTACGGCTCGCTGGCGTTTGCTAACCGCTTTCGACCTAGATAGACCAGTTCTAGATGCCCTTGATCACGAATCGCCTTTACAGTTTCCATCACCCTAAGATTGAAATTTGCAGTTAGGGTCAGGTTAACGTATATAAACAAATATAACCGGTCTATGAGTTAGCGCTTCCTATTTAGCTCAAGGTTTCAAGTACCTCCGTAAGTTATAGCTCATTACCTTTTCCGGAAGTAAGGTACGAAGTGAATATCGTCTTCGAAGATAATTGCTTCCCTGTAACCTTGTTTTAGGATGTCCTGCCAAATATTATAATGGCTCAGGAAGCAACCGACCTCGCCGAGTGTGAGATTGCGATCTCGGTACGGATCTCGATATTCAGGTAACTGGCGAATGCCAAGAGATTCTTTCATTTTAGCGCTGATCTTCATCCCATCGACAGCAGGCATATAGTTATATCTAACCCCTAGCTCCGTAAAGCAATATCTGATAACACAGTTCATACAAATTATGTTAGTATGTATATACTTTTAACAAGTTCCTAATGTTCCCTACGAACAATTCTTTAAAACTAAATGCAGGGCATAGTCATACTGGATATAACAATGCTGTTCTCAAGGCTAAAGGGGTGATTTTTTTACCATGGTTTCTATCGTTCTCTGTCATACATAATCTTTCAATAATAGTCATACTTCGTTATCATACCATGGTGCCCTATAATTCTTAAAGTGGCTCTGCAGTATGACAATACACTTCAAATTCTCAAAATGCTGTACAAATATTTATCAAGATAATGCGACCTTGACTGATACAATACGTGATAGTACATATATCAAACATCAGCTAAAGTAGTATTATCTCAAACGCAGCCAATTACGAGCTCAAGAATCTAGGAGACTAGAAGAACCAACTAGAAGAAATCTAGTCAATGTTTAAGTGCGATAATAATTTAGATTAACCTTTTTAGTGCATATATTATAGATTACTTACTTCATTCGATCATGTCGGTCGCGCCTTCTTTGGAGGTTAATAAGATAAACTTGATCAACTCCAAGTGAGTCCTTCACCGGTTTTCGTGTTAGTCGACGGAGAACGTCTGACTCTGGCAAAGGTTGGTCCTTATGTGTCACATCGACCTATAGGACGCTCACAGCATAATTATCATGTTGGAATATTAAAAATGATCGGATTGAAAAAAAAAAGAGCTAAATTCATTCAGACTTTTACATCTGATGCGTGCTCTACAGAATCCCTTTAGATACTGGAACAAATCCAAATGTCAAAAGATATAGTCAGCTGTTGTAATGACTACTGTTGTAATGTAACTCGTTTAACTTCGTATATTTTTTGTAATTACTTTAGTGTAGTAGTGGATTAAATTTACCTTTAGGTTAACTAGTTCCTGCTGTTCCATACTGACTGTACCCGTTGAGGCAAGCATCCAGCCATGGATCTAAAAATGGCAAAAATGCCAATCATATGAATTAGCAGATATAGGATCAATTATATAAGAATTCACGTTAAGGTTAGAAATGCTATGCATTTGAGCAGTTTGGAGAGAGGTATGCCCTTCATAAACAAAACGGAAAAATTATTTGTAATCGGTATTCGTTTAAAGGAGAGCTTCTCACTTTTCTGTTTGTAATGAATTGGTCGATTTTTGCTTTTTGAGCTGAGCGAGCGAACACTATGATATCATCAAGAGGCAAGCTTTTCTCTTGAGCTGGATCAAGGATTTCCCGACGGAAGGTTAGCCAGTCGCTGTTTCTTCCTCTCAGATCGACCAATACGGCTGAATGGACCAAAGCTGCCGGATGGATACCTATTAGCTCACGTTCGACTATTTTCATGTAGTTCTTCGAACGAACATAATACCTGTAACAGCCAGCAAATATTCATTACTGTAATTTAATCGCAATGACTTCTATCATTTACGTGCTTATCATGGAGGGTTCTTTATTAACAGCAGTATAGAACAATACAGTACGAAGTTTTACACTTTTCAGTTCTACCATAGGTTGCCCATATCCATATTGCATAGTAGTAATCTTTGTTTTTGCGTATAAAGAGGATAGACGTAAGCTCAGACTAAGCAAACCAAGTGATTATACCTTTGGTTCTATAATTATGTTTTCATTTTTCTTAATTCAAAGCGGTAGAATTGAAAGAGATCACTGTGATAACGCAAGTTGTGGGCGCACTTTCTAGTAAGTCTGGATGTGCGTTTAGCTCTTTCCGTTTTTGAAATCTTTACATCATTTTTTTAATAGAAACAGAAAAACAGATAATTAAAAAGGTTTTGAATTATTGTATAATCATTTTTATAAAATGTATCGTAAACTGGAAATGGGAGAGATCATTTTTGATTCACATTTTTGAATGTGTAAAACGTGAAGCATTGTCAAGGATTTTGAAATTTTACTTTGAATCTAACCATTATTACTGCATGGCAGCATGAAATGTAAATAATGAACAAAACATGAGACCTTTTTTAACACAAAAAATAGAACTTGAAGTTTGAGAAATGACTAACATTTTAATGTTCAGTGCTATTTAAAGTATTAGGGTATTTGATTAAGGAAAAAATGAATTATTGAACGCAGTGGAAGTAACAGAGTAGTCAAATAGTGGCAAAAATAAAACAAAAATAGCGAAGAAAATTCTAAAAAAATACAGACTAATATACTACTAGATATACTATATAGACTAATATAATTTCTTCTAAATCTATTTGCCTTAAATCTTGTGACTATCTGGTGATAGAACCGATAGAAATTCAGGACCATAATGCCTGGAATTTCTAACTGTCATCATAATAGGGGATTGTGTACCACTAGTTCAAAAACACGGAAAAGGTTAAATGGTAGACTGTCGGGCTTAATCAGATTAAAAAAAATTACTAACTAATTCCATCATTTTAGTCGAGAGTCGTAAATTTCACAGGGGTAGAATGGCGGGCAAGCACTTTTAGCAGATTTAGAGAAAGTAGGAACACTCCAAACCATAGTGATCAAATATAATGCCTATCGACTTCTCGTTAGAGAAACAAAATCGATTAATCGAAAGCCTAGTCAAGACGGAAGCGAGCATTAAAAAAAACAAAAAAAAAAGATGTCCAAGTCAAAAGAATATTATATCTTAGTGTACCCTCACTAATTCTTTGGTTTCGGGGAATTTATATGACTAAAAGAAACATGAAGTAATAAGCCACCCTCAAAGGCAACCTAGAGGAAGCGATAAAGTAAAATATAGGCATAAAATACAATACACCATGCCGACAGTCAGTGAAAACTGACGGTACGGACCTTTAACACCATAACTGTAGAAGCCAGAACCGCTTCCTTAAAAACTGTTGTTGCAGAAAGAAGTAGAGGCTACTGTAGGACAGCGAATGATGGATAAAAGGGACATTATTTATAAAAGAGACGGGACTGAGATGACATAATTACTTAGTGGTAACGATGAAAAATCGGTGTTGTATGCAAGAATAAAGTACTCTTATCTGTGTGATGTAGCGGAAGCCATAGCGCTAAAATAGTGTAACAAATACGGTTAACTTTAAATTGAAGGTGAATCGAATGATACGAATTTCATACCTCTTTCAAAGAAGCAAATAAGATTAGTATTAAGATGTCAAAAACGATAATAGCTGAAACAATTTTAGCATAACCTGCAGATGCGGAATTCTTTGTCTTATACTTTTTTTAGGTGAACGCTACAATTTTCGAAATAAATTGAAATTTCTGACAAAGGAATTACTCTGTATCCTATTATGAGCATCTTGAATCCACTTGGTAGTAGGTGCCCGTTGGCTAAAATAATAGGATGGCTATCGACAAACTAATACAAAAAAGCGGAAATATGTTTGCAACTGGATTACTTGTCTTTGAAGTTCATTAGATTGTTTGTTTTGCATGTACGTGCCGTTGCGCACCCTAGTTTATCCATTTCACCCCAGAAGTTACTATATAATGACATCGATTGCAGAAGTGGAGCAATCACAGTTCGGTTTTCAGCCATCAGATCCTGAAGGAGGTTTTCATTCGTGATGAAGGCGTCTGTATCCAGAAACCAGACGAATGGTATCTTTTGCTCCCTGGCGTAAGATAATGCATCTTCTTTGTGTCGAATCAGCGTCTTGTATCGCGATACTGGCCAGTTGTGCTTCGTAGGGTTGTCCTCATATTCCTGGCACAGTTCAAAATAAATATTAGAGTTTTATCGAATGATCATACCTTTAAGGAAATTTTAAGCGCTAAATCCGATTACGTTACTGTACCCGATTATATTGCTGTATCGTGCAAAATTGCCACCGTATCATTATATATGCCTATTTATATGCCTAGACAATGTACTCCTATTTCACCACGGAGTTCAGGCCTATGGGCGGCAAGGCAGATTGCATCTTTCGTATTGTTTGTAATAAGCAATATGAATCTTATCTAATACACTGCGTCGATGTTGTTACGAATTAGACAGACATTCAGCCAACCTGAGGAAGCATCCGAATGTCTACGGACGCGCTATGATAAAACCTGGCGTTTTTTTCTAGCCAAACATCAAGCAGATGCGGGGTATCATCTCGGTTATGATCTGAGCGAATCCACAAACCTTAAATATGAAACACAACATAATCAACACTCGATAACATATCCCAGTTGAACTGAAGGCACATGCGAAGTATCCAATTTTGTAGAAGCAGAGAGGCGTGTATGCGTTTACCATGAACGTTAACAATGTGATACTTTCTAAAAACGTATTTAAAGCATGTTCAGTGTTAAACAAAAAATAAAAATGCTCATATATAATTGAGTTTCCGACGGGCGGAACTGTTTTACCGCATCATAGCCAAATGGCGTTACCGATATTTTTCTTGGGATAGCTTAGCCGTTCGAAGCCTCCAAAAAATGTGGAAATAAGATGTTCCTCATTAGAAGCAAGAATCACAACAAGCACATCTGGACGTTCTGGTTTTGAAATGTAACTCTCTCTAGTCGTCTCCGAAACAACTAATGGCAACAAACATGTCAGAATCACCAATAGCTGGCACATCTTGCCTGCAATATGGAGACACACGAACATAACAACGGTAAATCTCGCATATACAACGTGACCTTACAAGAAGGGATAGCCTTATATGTTTAGGACAATAGCAATTCTCTATATGTGACCTCACAGACCTACACACATGCTTCATAGGGATGGAACTAAATTATTGAATACCATTCTGTATTACAGAACGCTACACAAATGCATGTTCTATTGTGCAGATTGTAAAAATGACGGATGATTTTCTTTTACCTGTTATTTTAGTTGAGAATGCAGATCCAGAAGGCAACCAGTAACTAATCAATGGAAGCTCCATCTAGGAACATAGCGATAGCATGTACATGCGGAAACGTTCAACGTTCCAGCCATAAGGCTTCCGATACGTGGCAGGTACCACGCCAAAGTCGGCGGCATAGCCCTTCGCTATGGCACTGCGCCCCCATCGAAGAGTCCATCACTTCTCCAGCGTTGATACAGACAGACATCTATGCCGAACTCTTGATGTCATTGGTCTCTGCAAGCGTGGTAACAGAACGGATTCTTGGTGTTGACATTTATGGAAATGCACTCACATACAGACACAGTCACTGCGCTTCCAAAGTATGCAGAGATTTTTCCTGGGAAGCCTCTAGCGAGAGGCACCCAACTGCCAGCACGAAGCCGCAGTCAAGATAGAAGATTCCAGCTAGTCATGATACACCATGACCGAACGGACTCTATCTAACGTATTACAAAATAGGTGGCCCCTGTGAAACACGCAGAGGAGAAAATAAGGGTGAAATTACGCGCGTTTGTTACATTCGTAAATGGGTTACAGTAGGTTTTTTTCATATCTAGTAGTAGGATTAGGTTAGTCTTATATAGCTTACTTGCAGGTTAGAGTAAACTTAAGCTAGTTAGACTGTGCCGGCTTAATAAGACGATACTCGAAACAGCGTATAGCGTGGCAGTACTTACGAATATTCAAAATAAGTATTTTCATTTTCAATTTAAAGGTCTGGTATGTTTGTTATGAAATATTATTCTGGGTTCGATGGCCAACTATCGCTAGACTATCCGTAAATTTATAGTCTCTTTTTGTATGTAGCCCGAAACAAATCCATTAGATTTTCATAATGCTCTAAACGAAACTCAAGCAGTGAGGCTGTTATCGCGCTCTACAATACAGAACAAAGAAGTAAAACTATCGAAGGTAATCGTTGATACCTTGCGTCAGCTGAATGTCTGTAATTCACTTAAATAATAACGGGTTTCCGTATGGGTTACGACACCAATTTGAATAAATTAGATCTCACCACATAACCATATCCACCTTTTTCACCGTGAAATAAAGTTTAGTATAATATTCATTTTTTAATGTTTTGGACTCCTTGCTTGGCCTGGTTAAGTTGATTTTGGAAAGAACAAACACAGCCATCGTAGTTCGAAACATCTCATTGAAGAGTGCTAATTGTTAGATCACGCCGAGAGAGGCAGTACAGCTCAGAGTGGACGGCTGCGATAGATGATCAGTCCATTTCTCGGAGAACCACAGAATCGACACTGAGCTCTCGGATCATCAATCCCAGACATAGTTACGCGGCGGCGGCGGGCTCGCGCGAGAAACTCAGCCTATTTTCAATAGTTTTCAAAAAGGTATTCACAGTACTGTTTAAGTTTTCCAGGCATCATGATTATAAATAACATCTTTAGTTAAAATTTTTATCTTTCAACTTTGCGACGAAAAAATGTAAGGTGAAAACCTTCGTTGAATACATTGACTTCTACAATTTTCTGAGCACCTGTTTATACTATCAACTAATTTATTGTGACTAAAAGGGTCATCTATGAACTAATAAGAAAAACTAGGCCAGAATAATATTGATTACTTTGACTAGCATCGCGTCACAGCAGCAATTGAAATCTTGAAGAAAATATATAAACAATTAATTTATATAAAATCAATATATCCCGTCAACGTTTGCACGTACGAGGGTGTTGCGAGAACACTGTGTGTGTAAAGTTTTAGGTACACTCGACTACACCGCCCAGCCATTAACACTAGCTCAGTCCTAACTGCTTTTTTTTTTAAGTAAACAAAGAAAGTGGTTACTTTTATCATTATATGTCTAAATGCACGACGTGGCTTGCCGAGCTTTGATAGCTTCGTTTAAAAAATACAGAATTGATATACAGAAATTGTACCAAAGTGCTTCAAGTGGTTTTGCAATACATATTCGTTTAATTTTTTTGCATTGATTTTTGTAAATGTATGAAGTTAAATCTCTGCAAAATTACCTTTGCTAAGTTTAACCCAATGTTAACCGGGACCAGATTTACCGAACCAACAATTATCATAGTTAAAATAGTAAAAACCTCAATTTTTGCCAGAGAGCTACGCAGGTGTGTTACGTAAAAACCAAGTGCACTGACTATAATGGAAAACGAATGCAAAATTAATCATTGCGTTGAACTAAACTAGCGTTAAAATACATATTTCACGGAATAGCCCAATTTAAAACGTCAGAGAATTACCACACAGTCACTCAGCTGAGCTCTCGTAACAGCGCTGGGCGATACGTTATCACGCTTGAATATCAAATCTCTGCCCTATTTGCCCTACCATGCGCGCTCGCTGGTGCCCCATCGTTTGCTTCGTTGTTTAAAATTCAAAATCTTTTCGAAAAAACCCATATTCGATTTAATCTGCCTACTGAGCTCTCTAGCTGCACCTGAACTATATGAAGCCTATTTGCTGTCTAAAATTTGCCTGTTCAACGGTGAGTGCGGACAACACTGCCATTGTTCATATTATAAAACGTAGTTAGCATAAAAATCAAGGGGGATGTTATAATCGCCAGTCAATCAAAGCATATCGTCGTTGAGATTAGTTCCGATCGCTTTCAGCTGCCGAAAAAAGGTCAAATGCACGAGCGCATATTTTAATACAGAAAAAAAAAAACGTTAAGCAAAATTCTATATTCGAAACCGCACAAACCTTATAGCTGTTTCAATGGCCTTTACGCTCTCGTCGATTATTTTTATCTGAAACTTTAGCTTAGCAGCCGGCCTGGCTGTTTCGGTCATAAGCCAGTAAGGTTGCCTCAGATCGGGGGAGGTTATCCCTCAGAAATGTGCAAATATGCGACAAATTGCGTGACGTCGCTTTCTGACTTACTACGAAATCGGGTTTGTTTTTCGTATATTTATTATTCCTTAATATATTGGATATATTAATTTATGCGAGTATTTGAATAAATCTAGTGTAAAATACTCTCTTTTATGAGGTGCTACGGAGTTGTTGAGAGGGAGAATGAAATATTTTGGTTTCGTGTAGGATCATTAGCAAGTTTGCTGCATGTTTAATCTGTTTAACAGTGAACCAAAAAGTCGTGAACGGTTTAGATCGGACGCGTGAATCATCGCTGGTGTTTGTGAATAGTGACAGTACAACGAAGTGATGCAGCTAAAATGGGGTTTTGTTAGCATCTGCAGGAACTTTTCTATATATTTTTATACTTTTGCACATTAGAGATGTATGTTCCGTACCATCAAACGCTCGTAACAATGTTTCTCTGGCTCCTTTTCTCTTCCGTGCTTGCTACTTCCCAAGTAAACTCAGTCACTTATTACATCGAAAATTTATTATTTGAAATACTTGTCGAAACACTTGATCTAAACGAAGATACTTGAGAACATACATTTTAGTAGAACTCAGTTACGCATTTTTGTTAAGCTTAATTAAATGGCACATAGCTTCTATGATTTTAAGAAGATCGCGCAATTTCCCATCGGGGTACTACGTAAACGCTTAAAAACCCGTAACCCTTTATGGACTCACGTTCCCACGTAGCGATATCACAGATAGTGTCATTCTGTTACACAAAAATAAATAGCAAAGACACGGAACATCGCTGGAAATGGATAGGGACCACGCGTAAATTAACGCTCTTTTAGTACATAGTGTCTGTGTTTTCATTCTTAAGGAACTGTCTTTTGACTGCTAAACTGGAGCGGAGTTTTCAACTACCGTGGGGGTTGTTTGTTGTGAAGCTATGCCACTGACTATACTTGAAACGCGATTAGATATATTTAGTCTTAAAGCCTTTAGATACGTTGTAACCCCCTTAACGACAAAAAAAAATCGACTATTTCATGTCTCAAAGGTAACGCTACTCTATCGAGGGTTTGTTCAACTTTTTGAACGTGCTTTCAGAGTTATTTTTCGAGCGAACTCAAACAACTACGCAACTTTATTAGAATGTGTTTCTTCTTCTTGGACGTCTTATTTGGTATATGGTTTTATATGGCTTACAGAACTTTTTCCAACACTGCAAGTCTGACATTCCCAGTGCCCGGTAGATAATTTTGCTTTGCACTGCTTGGCATTAGGATTGCATTAATTGGTGGTTTATTTGATGATTTTATTGTTAAAGCAATACATACATAATAACTCTGATTGACAAAGCAGATTTAGTCTGTAGAATATAGTAAATTCATTAAATACCGCAAGAGTAACCTATCTGGGAAAACTATGGGTGTTATTAATCAAATTAAATTATCCCATTCATCCAGAAAGTCTAAGGATCTTGAATAAAAAAAAACACGTCTCTTCTGCTTATGTCCACAGATGTCAGGTGGCGCTTTCTGGAGTGTGTCATTGTGGGTCATTCTTCAGGCGGAATTTCTCCCTTTCATTTCTGCTGCTCCTGTAAATGTCATTGTCCGACCGGGTAGTGGCACGCACGTTCAAGTCGGGCCCATGAACGCGATAGTGCAGCCTGGTTATTCGATATTTAGACCATTGGGAATACTGGTTGATGTACCGTAAGTATGAGATGCTCAAAGTAGTACAGTGTATTGCTTCCTATATTAAGTTACTGAATATTTGAACAAGAAACTCTATGGATTTGTCTTTCAAATTTAGGATGAGAAACCCCAATTACTGGCGAAGTCTTAGAAAGACGGAGTTTAGAAAGCTTATAAAAGTCAATGTCGCTTTTACTAGTTAAGCGAAGAATAGACCTATTTCGAGATTTGACTGTATGTTTGATATATTTTCAGTTTTTTGGAGTTTGATATCTCATATTGTACAAAAGAGCTTCTAAAAGATTTCCGCTTTACGTCAAATCATTGTTACGATACGAGTCAAGCAAGATTTCGACGCCAATGTTCGTGGAGCACGTATTTTTTCTCACAGCTCTACATGCCTACATTTGAATATCAAAAATAATTCAGTTAGGAGAAAGTTCGGTACGTATAATTCTATTTGTTTGCACTGAGTCTTTGGCTGAATCTAGATTTTCCAGCATGCTTCTAATAAAAGAGCTTGAATTATAACGTATTATAAACTCAGCATTACACTTAGCTGTCGTCATCATTGTTTTCTAGGTTTCAAACTTTGCACATGGCTGCGGTCGATTGCGCTTATTATAATTGCGAATTTGAAAACGACCGCGCTAACCACTAAACCTGATCACTGTACAACAAGTAGGCCCGGCTGCAGGTTGCTCCATTGATGATCGAATTAGAATTTGCCTGTGATAGCTGGCTGCATCTTGTATGTCCCCTTCTGAACTGTCATCGGCTTTCTGTGTCAGCTTTCGGCTATCTGTAGATTATCGTCAGATCACGCCGATTTTGGCGGAGCGCCTTGCAATTCAACAGGGCGCACTTCTGTAAAGTATGATAAAAAAAAAGAAACAAGTATATGATGGAAGATGTGATCACAGTTCGTGATGTTGGTGTATGATTTTACAATGCTTAAAGACGGTGTTTACTGGCTGCTGATATAAATTTGATTTCCACTTTTCTTCTGGACCTGTACACAATGCAAGCAAGAGATTATCAGTAGTCAGTGGATTCTAATATATATCATGCTACTGAATTTAGATAAGTACTATTGACTAATGCTTACTTTTTTTAGTAGACATATACCAAAAGAATAGACTTTTATAAAATAGCACATATATGATTCAAAGTACTGTTCCTAGAGCAGTTGACCCGGTCTTTTATAACGTGTGCTCTTGTGCAGGCAAAGCACTTAATAGTGTTTTGATTGCTTTTGTTTGCAATAAGTTTATAATGGCATACGAGCGCATAGTCCGATAACGGGCTTCTTTTTCTTTGTTTATTCATCAAACGTTACACACCATTTGTTTGTTCTATGAAACGTACATCTGCTTCTAATACACACGGATTGTATGAACCTACAACAGTTTGAGTAACATTCTAAATAAGGGCCTTATAAAAACATTATTCTCTTTATTATCTATTTTCGACGTTCCCAAAAAATATCTGTAATTAAATGTCATAGGGTATCGTGTTTGAATCACGTCTATCTGCATTGTTTTTCCACTTAGGACGACGGACAAACATAAGGCTTGAGCTTACTTTTGATATACTAATCATTAGTGGTTCTGAAAAAGTATCCACACACCAGTGCAAACATCGCACGCGTGAAGGTGAATCCAGTTACCATAGAACTTCAACTCTTATGTGTCCTCAAATTTCTTAAGTATTCTGTTCGACTCCCGGCACGTCTCATTTAATTGTTGTCATTTCTGTTTAAATATTTCTTATATTTCTTTCTTAAGTCATATTTGTCAGCCCCTAAAAGAGTAAAACGAGGTTTGTTCTCTCGTTCGACTTCGTTTTACGTCTGTGTTTGAATTTCAATTCTTTTCTTTCTCCTGTTTCCTCGCACTTCTTCCATTTCATCTCAGTTTTTCCTGACGCCGAATCTTTCCCCGGTTAGCGCATCCCCCCTGCTAGCCCCTGCCGTCTTCACCGATCGCCTCACGCACCGGCCGAGTTACTTCCATTGGTTTGGCTCCCTGTCTGTCTCTCTTGCTTTTCTTTACATGGTTCTCCTGACCGGGAATCATTTACCCCTAACTCCTTTTTATCCTACTTGTTCTCTCCCCGTCCTTATCAACCAGTTTGCCTTTCAACAGCACCGCTTCGATTTCACTTTTCGTCTTTGTTGCTGGTACGCCTTTTTCACCGACTGACTCCCGACCGCTGGCTTCTTCGGGACCACCCATAGCTGGTGTTGGGGGATAGCTCGTTCAGGGCCATTGGGTCAGGCGAACAGGGTGCTGGGTTGCACAAGATCCACCAGCTCTGTCTACGACAGAGAAATGGCACAGACACGTAAAGAGTCTTGGGGGATCGGGAACACTCCTTGTACGTGCGTGGCCTCTTTTGCCGTCTCTCTGCTGCTGCCTTAGCGTTTCTGTTTCTTCTTCTAGAGCAGAATTTCCCGGCGAAACTCCTTCATCTTGGCCCCAAACCCTTACCGACGATTCTTCCTGTTTAGTCCCCCATTTTTTCGAGTGAAAAACCAACCTCGCTTTGCACACATCGTAAGCAGTAGCGGCCACGGCGTCTGGCCTAGCTCCCAGAGTAGCATGAAGCGTGGAGTGGCAAATGGCACAGCGGATACGAGAATACAGAAGGATCTCTAGCACACTACAGATGTGTGATCGCTGCATGCGTGTCTTTGGGAAGGGCTAAAGCGGGGTGGTAGGTTTGAGTCCCTTTTATTCATGTGCGACTGCCATTCCTCGTCGGGGGCGGCTGCAGCCGCTACCGTAGCCGGCCAGCGGAGAATGAAGCAGCGGCTCCCGTTTTGTTAGTGTCGACTGAGATAAATCACCCACAGGCTGCGTCGTCCTGTTCTTTTAGCTGCTTCTGTCCCGTGACGGCGAGCTGTGCACGCGCTACTTGTAAACCGAGCGTAATTCCTCATTTAGCGTCTTCGTTTTCATCTCGTTCTCTTCAATCCGTCCCTGGTGGATCGCGAGCTTTGTGATGATATCCAGCAGTTCCGAGAACCTGCCTTGGCTCAAGCTTGCAGCTGCTCATACCGATTGTCATGTTTCATCCAAGAGCCTTTTACCTGTATAATGTATGTGCATGCTATGGGCACAGTGCGATGTCTCTATAGCAATATATAAAATAGACAAATAAAAAGAAAAAGGGAAACGCCCATTTATCACAACGAGCGGTATAGTGATAAGCAATACCTTTCCACAACGTTCCACACGTTCGACAGTAATATCCAGTGTTTAGGATTATTCGAATGCATATAGGGAACTTTTGCTGTACTCTACTACAGAATACTACAGAAAAGTAGAGGTTCTACTACAGAATTATGAGGCAATTTTTGACGACGGTCTGAGATCAGAGGGGGCATTCTTTATAGGTATCTACCACAGGTTGCAATTCACATTACCGGTATGTGCCTTAGCCGATCCGATCTGACAAGTATTTATAATATTTCATTTCTCAGTTATTTTCTGTGACACTAGATGCGGCCGATTAGAACGATGGCGATAGTGGTCATGACCGCATTCTCTCCTGGGTATTCACACAGAATGAGTGTTTTTATAATGCCGCCTTACTCCTATACAAAGGTCAATATATAGGCGCATTTTTTCGGCCTTGTCGTTGTATTGTTGCTGCTACCGCCGTAAGTCGCCTTCAGCTTCAGCCGAAATTTGGTTTGTTTCCTCCGTTAGCCTCCTGCCTGTTTGTCTACACCAGCTCTGCATAAATAGAAACTACCAGTCGACAAGGCCATGATGGTGAATTACTTCTTAAGACGAAACACGAAGCGAAGTGAGCCTTTTCATTGCGCTACAGAACATTTGCACCTATCAGTGTCGATGTTCTGTTTCGAGTTTGTCCTCCCCGCCCTATCTCTCTTAAGCCCCCTTCCCCATCTTCTGTCTCGTTGTTCTTATGAATCTTCCAAATCTTTCACTTGATATCACCAGCCATAGCCATCACGGACGCCACCATCGTCATCCGTTTCCTTCGGCTTCTTTCTTCGTCGTCATCGACAAAACCCATCGCAGGTTGTTCTCCTATCAGCGTCGTCAGCGGGCCAATGCGGAGGTATTCCTAAATGGGGTGCAGATACGGTAATATGCCGAGCACTGGCAGCAGTGGCGGTCTGAACAAAATTTTGCAAGAGTGTTTCTCTTTTTTTTTTTTTGCTTTCACCCGCCTTTCGGTGTGCTCCGTTTCTACCTTTCTTTGAATCATCACTACTGCCATCTTTTACTCATGTCGAATGTTTTTACTCGTCCCGACGCTACCCTTTTGCCTACACGTCACACCGCATAAGTCGATTCTTTCTTCTCTTTTTTCCTGTATTGTGACCATTCGCAAAGGATAGGGTATCCATTCAACTGAGAAGCTATCTGTGATAAATAGTTTTCCGTACTAGCCTATTTTTGTTTCTATTTTTCGCCGTGTTTCTGTTTGGCGGTTCACTAGCAGTGCGAAGTCCTTCTTAAATAAACCCAAGGGCATATCCAAACGTCAAAATTAAACGTTTTGGGATTTTCATTGTCAAAACTTAACCTATAGTAGTAGGTCATTCTAGGAATAGACTCCATAAAACGACAGTATCTTATCAGGCGATTTAAAGTGATCGTAATTTTTCCTTTCTTTTACGCAAATCGATGAGGAACGCGATATGTGGTAGTTAGGTTCAAGAAGACCTGTGTATATGTTGTGTCCATTCATCCTTCACTTTACTTGCACTTGCGGTCACCTAAGGACCAGCATTTAGTGTCTGCTAGCAGTCAATTAGGAAAGGTAGACGCTTGGCCTTAGCTGCCTCTGCTAACCGGCTGATCTCCTAAGCTGTTAACACTTATTGATATTTATGTCTTGCCCCTATGTCTCATGCTAACGCTGCTTCTGAAACGAAACGCTCGCTTGCCGATCTGTGTTGATGGCAGTCTTTAGCACGCGAAACAGGAGAGTCTCAAAGACTAAACATCCGAAAACGATGCCGTTCGTTTTGCACGCTCATCTAAATCCATATGTATCTGTAGGAAGGACTTTCTGTTCGTACCTTGTAATGGCTGTCAAGCGAATGGGATAGGGTGGACCCTGAGGAATATATACAAGGGCCATGCATATATATATATATATCTGTGTGTTTGGACTACTCCTACCCCGCAAGGAGGCTCTTTGCTTAATCGTCGACTTGGTTGTCGTTGGCGTTAAATGCCTTGCCTCAGCAATTGGTTGCTTTTGTCGTTACTGCCGCTAGCTTCTAATGAAGCAATTGGCAGAATGGACTTAGACCTTTCGTGCTTCTAGGAAGGATCACCGTGACGAAGCACATAAAAACTCGGGCAATCTAAAAGGAAAAAAAAAGCAAATTAGAGCTTCAAATATATTTCAAAGGACTCTGAAGGCGATTGAAGTCAAATGTAAGAATTACTTGTGATCATTCGTCAAAATAGAAGCTCGCCTCAGTAGCGAAACCCTACAAAGATGAATTTCCTAGAGCATAACTGCATCTATCAACAACGGCTAACTTCATACCGTAATGTGTTCTTTTACTGATGCTGAAGCAAAAAAAAGCGCTGTCTTTAATATCTGCCATGTTAACAGGCTTCTTTAGTGTGCGAAAACCATTAGTGAATGATAGTTTAGTTGCATAGAAAAGGCGAAAACAGTACAGTAGAAAGCTCAGATATGCGATTAAATGAGACTGACCGTCCATGCGGTCAAATAATATTCACGAACTGGTCTCCATTTACATACACTCGATGTTGTTTAATGGAATTAGTCCGTAAGAAGGTCGAGGTAAGCCCGGTTCGCAGGGCGTGCTTGAGAGATGCGTCCAGCTCTCTCCTTCCATCCGTCCTACTGTTTACTGCGCCTAATGAGACATTTGTGAGAGATGGGTGGTCCGTACTGCGTATACTGACGTATAATGACATTCTGCATCAATGAGAAATTTCCAAGTGAGCCTTTAACGATATGCAACACGAACCTCGAGAACATTATATACATGACTGCAACATGCTGGTCGTAGCTTCGTCTTTGGTTAGTGAAAGACTGACCCTATCGAGGTCTACGCCCTCAAAATTCCAAAACCAATTATAAAATAGACAAAGGCGTTAATAAACGTTGACCGATATTAGCCTATCTCATATTATATATATATATATATATATAGAAAAGTGGATCAAAGTAATAAATTCGCCGAGGCAGACAGTAGTGGGTAGTTCTCGGAATTTGCACTTAAAAAGAATTTTTAAAAAGGCTTTTATAAGACTAACCGAAAGAGTTTTAATGATTAAGGTTTAAAGTGCTTAAGAATTCATCAAAATTACTTTTTTTCCATTTAAAAGGGCAGGGTGACAGGCCATTTAAAAGAGGAGGCTATCAATTACAAATCTACATACGTTTGAAGAATTGAGATGTCTTGCGCCTGTGCACTTTGAAAACCTTTGACCCGGTATCAGCCCAAAATTTAATTCCATGGACATTTTCTATATGCAGCCTATTTGAGCAATACTCCAACCCTTTGACACCTACTAACGTCGCTTGACGGAAGGTAGATATTGGAAAATTATTTGTGGACTAAAGAAAGGATATTAAATTTAAAAAAATAATTAGCGAATTGACGCCTTAATTGTATCGAATCGTACCGAACAACACTTAGCGAGCATAAATTTATGTTGCTGAAGTTTTTTTAAAACGAGGCATAAGAAAAAATCACGGTTCGAATGTGTCACCCTGATAGAGCACTCTACATGTAATTATATCTTCCAGAGGCTTACCCGTGCACCACTTTAGTTTCCTACGGAAAATCGAAATGAAAAGTTATGTAGGTCAAGATTTATTTGATGTGGTGGTTTTTACAAAGCAAAAATAATTAAAGCAGGGTATGCGTTCTCAATCTGGCCAACTAATAATCTTGTGCGATGAAGCAGTCACTCAATGAAGAAAGCCTTTTTCTTAAAGGAAGAGTTGTAATTCTGATTATGGAAGATGATGTTTTATGTGCCGAGCTGGATAGGTCAAACATCAACATTTGTGTAGCATAGCTGTCATGAAGTTTCTCAGAGCTCAGAATGTAAAGCTTGGTTTTGAACGTATTCTGCTATAAAGGATTGTCGATGGTAAATCAATGGTCCACGATCGTGAGAATACCGAATGTGATACATGTGCTGAAGATGTTTATTTAATAGGTCACTTAGTAATAAAAAAGATAGATTAATTCATGAAAAAATTAGGAGTCGTAGTGTTACATTTTTCAACTTTTAGTTATCATTATCATGCTTCTTTTAAATAGTAATCCTTAAATACGTTCGATATTTCTCGAAATATTCGACGTTGTCTATGCGATAATTGTCTGTATAGTCTTTATATTTCGAGCTTTATGTCCGATATCGTCGTTAGGTATTCTATCTCGCGGCTGCTCCTAGCACGAAACGAAGTCCGTCTATGCTCGTGTTCAAACCTAGACCACAGCGTATCCCTAAGGTTAGCAGGCAAATGAAAGTAAAGTTGTCGCGGGTCATAGAAATCGTTTAGCTGTCGTCTTCTAGGATGTCTTTTCCACGAATACCCGTGAAGGTCTCAAAAAAGAGCCACAAAGCGGGACTGAGCTGGCGTCTATAATATGTTCACGCTCTGAAGTTTGCCATTAATTAAGTGAACAACGTTTGCCAAAAGGTAACACTTTTTTCATCGAACGAAACTACACTCTGACATTACCGAAGCGACGAAACTTTTCTCTGTTCATGCCTGTCAAAAAATTGGATGTATTGCAACTAACATGGCTAGCGCTTTTTTTCTTTGAGCAAAAGGTTTACATAACATTGTTGTACTCACCATTTTACAGATATTCTGTTCGATCGGTTCTGTTCTTCTTAAGTAAGCTTCTCTGCTTACCAAGTAGTTAATTAAAGTAGTATTAAAAAAAGGTAATTTATAAAAAGCTGATCTTAGTGTATCTGTCATTTGAATTTCCAGGACTATCCTATATTTGCGCGTTGTTAGCCATCCCCTAGGAGGAACAGGGTAAGTGCCTAACACAGCGTTGATAATGTTTGAGCAGACAATTAAAACATGATCTGGTTATTTTTAAAGGTATGCTAAGGAAAAGTTTTCCTTAGCACACCTTTAATCTTATAAAATAATCTTATAAAAAACATCTCTTATTTTTCTGGTTCGCTCTCACCTGAGATAAAAGTTCGTCTGCTATTTAGTGGCCTTTGCTACCCACCCTTTTTTAAAACTTCGGTTCAAAAACTGCCGCATTCAGGAAATCATTTTCTAATAATTATTAACATGACCAAAATCAAATCTAGAAACATCAGAATTCACCAAATGAACATTTAAAAAATCTATTATTTCCTTCAATGTCAACAGTCAATCGAGAGCCCTCTTCCCACATCAGTAGGTTGAGTCGACTCACACTCGGATGACCATTTGCTATACAGCAATCAACTGTTTTTTCGCTTCTGTAGCCGCTTCGTAGAACCTGGATCTCATTGTCAGTTTGCTGATTTTGCAAGCTCGATAAATCGTTGTTTCCCGTCGTTTCCCAACCGCTGTTCTCATTCGTAGATTCCATAAATCAGCACACAAGCCCAGATTCATACACACAAATACCCGATTTGCCCCTAGCTATTCCCCTCCCATCAGCCTTCTACTTTTTTTTAGCTTTCGGAGAGTTTCGCTAAGTGAGAAGAGAAGGCCTTGCCTCGCGGCCGGCACTAGTAGCAGCAGCTCTTCGAAACTTAGACGAACGCAAGGTACTTTATGATAAACACGAAAACTCCAAGACAGAGTATTCCTCCCAAAGAGGTTCGGGATTCTTGTATCCCCTGTTTTCGGCCACGACCGCATTATTTCTTCTCCCCAAGGAGAAAAAAGGTAGTACTAGCAACCGAAGAGAAGATGTCTCTGCGCTGCCCCGACATTTCATACGCCGTGTTGTTAACTCTAAATACCTCTCCCAGTCTCCGACAAAACGCAGTCATGCACACCCTATTCCCCCAAAAAACAATTTTGACCTTCACAAGCTTTCGTTGACCCGCTCTATCCCCTTTCTGTGGCATACACGGGTCGGCCCTCGTACCCAAAGCACACAGCACGACTGTCTGTCTGGCTACGTTATGCGTTTGCCCACACTTGCACGCCCGCTTTTTATTTTTGTTTATCTTACGCTTCCTAGGTAGTTGCTGCAATCAGATATATTTTTTGCTTATCCCCACCTCGTCTTGTGCGATCCTTCGGACCTCTTGGAGCGGGAGAGCACTTGCTTTTTCCCCCATTTTCACATCTTGATGATTACGACTCTTACGACCACAGCCTGTGTATATATATATGTATAAGACATGCGAATAGGGGAGATATAACATGGGAAAGGGGGAGCCTGTCGACAGGGTCTAGACGTCTCCCGGTATCCCCGTATCTATTCGTATGTATGGGTAGAAACGCTGTTTGTCCAGTAGAGGGAGGTAGAGGAGGAACCGAACCTGTTCTTCGAAAGGAGCGCACAGGCCGGGGGCAAGCAGACAGAAAGCATTGCGATAGAGCTCTTGCCCTTAAAAGGCATCGTGCTAGCAGGCGAAATGTTGTCGTGAAAAGAGGAATACAGTAATGTGTCTGTCTGTGTGTGTGCGGGCGCCCGAGTCTGTGTAAGAAAAGAAGAGGCTACGAGAGCTATGTTCGTAAAGCCCGTTGCCCCTTTCCTACTCACAGGCGGCACCATGATGATGATGGTGATCTTGGTGGTGGCGGTGATGATGACGCGATAAATGCTGTTATTATGATTTACGACCTGCCAGTATGCCGCCAGCAAGCGGCCATACTATTTAGCAGCTATGTCTGCTACGGCTGCTACCATCTCTGGTCCCGCCAGCGCTGCAATTCGCTTCAATGGTGGAGCTAGCGGCTGCCGGTTCCTGCGTCGGAGGAATGGAAGGTATCGTAGGACTTTTCGGTTATCACCGGGGCCAGGTCAGGTCAGACTGAGAAGGCAGCGCTTCCACGCTCATGTGAAAAACTCGATGTACTTATGCAGCGGGCAGGCTCTTTCTGCGCGGTCGATGCCCGGCGGACCACAGCCAAGAGGAAACAAGGAGGCGGCCGCCGACGTGTGGCCATGCCGAGTGAACGGAAGTGGAGGGGGGGCTGTCTGTTGTCGTCGTTGCGTTTTTGTTGATGATGCTTAGAAGAAATGCAGGGAAGGAACCTGCTTTGGCTCTGTCCAACAAACGCGAGGGACATTCTTATGTAGAATATGTTTGCAATAGTTAGCAAAAAATAATCCTTATGGTAAAGTTTGATACGTTGTGCTTGCACATTGGATCCCTTAAGCATCTATTATAACTGTATGTGTAGATAAATATAATCCTATTAGATAAAATCTACGTTTTGGTTCGGGAAAGCGGTGTGGAAGGATATACGGATTGCTTATCCATGTGACGTTATGTACTATAAATAAAACAGTATTCCAAGATTTTTAAATATTGATTAGCTGTCCAGATAGACCCATATTTCGCCCAAATCAGGCTATTCTAAATGGGTCAAAATGTCTTGTATTTATGCTCTTTATTTTATCAATGTAAAAGTTGGAATATCTTTCGCAAGCTGCAAGTTAGTTTATTAAGGCCACGATTTTAGGCATACGATATTAATATGACAATGTGGATTGACGTGTCGAATCTTACATCTAAGTTAAGGGATAATTGCTACATTTTATTATTTTTATTTATTAAAGAGATTATTTCGCATTGATGACATGATTTCCAGTGTCAACATTAATCTTCCAATCCTAGATAAAATGCGGAGCTATGCGAAACTTCCTGCTGCACTTGACGATTCTGTCGACGGGGAAAGCGTTGACGGTAGGATCTTCCAGTTTTAACAATCAAATGACGACCTTTGTTCACAAGGCTTAGCAGTTGTTTTATTGTATATATATTCACAGTTGTATTTATGTAGGACAAGTTTGTTGATGTGTTCAGTATCGAGTTCCACCGAGGAACTCACAAGATAGGTTTTTCAGGCATCCTATTGGTTCTACTGAGAATTCGTTAGCCAAACTACGCTGAATTGGTAAATTGGCAATATATATATATATATATATATATATATATATATATAAAAGGTGAAATAATTATATTATATAAGGTCTTAGGGCTTGAAAGCCAATGGAGCAGGTCCATAAAAATAAATCAATCAATCAATATATTTGAATGGAGACAATCTTCTCAAAATTAAATTCCTATTTAGATTGGAAGGGTTGCATCACAGTTTATTTAACTTATTATGGTTAAACCTTATTACATATTAGTGGTAATATGCATCAAGGTAAGTCTCGAAATCTACAATATTTTACGGTCCAAAATGAGCCGCGCAATTTCAAACGATTCACGAAAGGGAGAAGCTTTGTATTTCATTCAATTTTACCTTGACAACTCCAACCACTTGACGAAGGTTAAAAAATTCACTAATTTGAGATACGCTCATTATCGGAAGTCCACCGTAAAATCAAGTAGATCTTTGATGACTTACTATATATATATATATATATACGCGTAAACACGTTCCTGGTCGTTTACTGTGTTACTTCTAAATCGATGCCCTATAACTTGATGCTGTCCTTAATTTGCTTTTCAGGTACTGCCGAAATGACCACGAAAAAAGATGTACCTGTTACAAATTCAATAGACATCTCAGTTGGCAAGCACGATACAAACGAAGTGGTTATTCATCAAGACACTAATATAACAACCGTTATACAAAGAAAAATAGAAAGACGCGATCTTTCGAAGGTATAAATAAAGTAGAGGATCTCTTTGACTTAGCTCGGCTAGAGAATAGGTGCGGTGCAATGATCACACTGAGTTAATGGTAACGAATTCTCGAGCTTAATTTTTGAACAGATTTAGCGTTTGTTCATCGCAGATTTGTTTTACACACGTGTTTGTTTACCTTAAACAACATCATATTAACGACTATATTACATAGAGTATGCCATTACGTATGATAAGCGGACCGTGTAGTCTGTCTAATTCTCTACATCCCTCTAAGGACCTAGAAGCGGTGAAACCTTCAGTGTTAGGCGGTACCACTAATTATACGAACGATGGCCCTTCAATTAACATTTCAATAAACAAAGTTAAGGTACTTCCTCGTATCTAGTTCTATTACATTTCCTTTAAATAGCGATGTCATTAAACAGGCGATTATAATGGCTCTCATCGTCTTTGTCATTATCAGCACTTCTTCCACACCTTTTTATCACCAGCTAAGTGGGACAATTCCTCGTTGTAGGATGGTTTTCCTTCAAGTTCTTTCCGCTTTCCTTTACTTTGCTTTTCTGCTCTTGCAGTCGGATAATAAATAGCTAGGTAACGTATAGGCATTCCATTTTTTATAGCAATTACACTACTACTACTACTACTACTACTACTATGGCACATGCGACCCGAAAATAGCGCTTCTTTTTAAAGAGCGAGAAAAACCTGCTGCGTCCTTTCCATTTCGTTTGTGAGAGGCAATATTTGTGCTACTCCCGGGGATTTGTCGTTCTTTGTGACAGAGCCGCTTAATGGCTTATCCTTTCGTCCCGTACAGTGGCTTTACCTGCGCCATGGCGATTCGTGCCGTCATCGGTAGCTTGGCAGTTTGTTTAACTTGCTCGTTGAAGGATTCTATTGATCTGAACTACTGCAATAACCGCTTGTCAGTTTTTTTTTTCTATTGGCATCACCGTCGTTGTTGCTGGTGTTGACAGTTTCCTGTTTCGCCCTTCAACTTGCAGTCTTCTCGATCATAGCGTCGACCTTTTTGACGGATCCTTTTCAGTATCATTTTAAATTGACATACAATGATCGCTGTGATCTTACTTCTGGTTGGGCTGTTGTCATGCGCGATGGTACAATACTTGGGACACTGACTCCTGGACATTTCCTGAACTCTTTTCTTTAAACGGCCAATGCCGTTGTCGTATCGTCACTGCAACCCTTTCTTTCAACAAAGCCCCAAAACCGTGCTGAAAAGATCGTCGCCAGATTGCCGTTGATCGCTGTAAATGCAGCATAACAAAATGCGAACAATTTACTCTGTAGATACTTCCACCGTGTAACGTCACAAAGCACCGGCCCTTGCCGCGGTGCGGTGGACCGTTATCATTGCGGCGGCGGCGTCTTGTCGAAGTTGAGGCGAACCGTTGTTGATTGGGTCCCTTACCACCGAGGCTTAAATCGTTTCGTTTCGTATTTCTCTTCACATGTTGAGGGATCGCACTTGCCCTTGCCTAAAAACACTGCTTCTAGGCAGACTACGTGGGGTACGTCGATAAAATGCCATTTGAAATTTAGCAGGACGTGTGAATCTCGCCAATTTTGCCGTAGTAGTTCGTTCAGCTGAGTAATGCTTGTGGAACTTTATAGATCTGTGGATTAGTTGGAACAGAACAGTAGATTGGTGACTGGCATATATCTAGGCAAATTAATGGAAGTTCTTCTTTTTTAATTCACTTTCAATAAGAAACAAGTTAAGCTGATAGCTTATGCATTGAATTGCCGTTGAGAGGATTACCGGTGCTTATTGGTCAAACGAGAAAACTTCAGCGGCAAGCAACACAATGAGGACGTTTGAGCCCTTGCTTTCGTGTTTCTTTTTGTGCTTCTCGCTGTCCTTAGGTACAATTTATACAAAAAAGGATAGCCAGAGTGATGCAGTTCATGGCGTGATTAAGAATTACCTCGATAAACAACTGCGAGTTTTCACTGGAATTCCTTATGCACAGCCACCGAAGGGTAAGTAGCTTCAAATTCTACATTGGCTACAAAATATAGTACCTAGTACATGGACAGCGTGGATCGCCACGTACAATGCGCACATAGATGGGCTCGAATAAAGTACAAATCATTTGGTTGCAGTTATGTTTTCTACTCGTATCATTATCAAACAGGTCTAAGGTACATCGGAGCGTAAATATCTAGGCAATTATATTAACAGTTCAATAATTGCAATTTACGTTCTGATGTTCATTTTGACTTGAACGTTAAAGCTTTGCGATAAAAAGCAGTTATTGAAAGACAGTTTGGTATCCAATAGTTTTCTACAAAAAATAGCCTTTTGCAGGGACCTATTCCTTTTCACGAGACATACAAATCTAAATAGATAATTCAGCACAGCGCCATGAACATAAGCTCGAAATATATGATGAAACGCTCTGACTGAGTAAGAATTGTATATACTATTTGTATCTTGGGGGCACAAAAACAATATATTGCTGTACTGACAAAGAACTACGCTTAGCCAGTGGGCGGACACGCGCTTTGCATAGATAATTCAGATAAGTGGCTAGGTTTTCCGAACGTAAATCCAAAGGTAGGGTGCGCGTCGCGTGTCGAGGCGCGCAATGTCTACGAGAACAAGAACCCTAACTAAATTCTACTGCTGCCAAATACCTACACTTTGCAGTAATTGGTAGTCGCAGCAGTCTCCTGTAAAAGCTGCTGGGGTTCCGCCTTGTTAGAGACACCCATTTGTTGTTCCGCCACAAGTCACCCGATGACAGACTTCATACGCGATGTTACGCCAAGATGCCGACAGACACCTGGCGAAGAACCTGTCGCTTTGTTGCAGCGGAGGTTCACGTACTGGTTCTTGTCGATGTAGTTTAGCCGAAAGTGGAGTAGAGTAGTCGAACGATCACAATCGGATGCGCATTCGACTTGCCGTAGGCAGACGAATAATACAGATAAAAGCCAAGAAGCAGCAGATATATAATATATGATCTCATCACTGGCATAGCCAAGGTTGATGGAAGTAGGCGTAATCCACTGTGACGCTACTTGGTATATGTATACTGGTGATATTCAGGAATATTGGTAAACCGTGAGGTTAAGGCATACAGCGTCGTTTAGTCAAAGTTAAATTATTTCCAATATTTCGAAATAATGCTTATCTCGTAGATTCCTAACTATGGTTTTGAATTTTACGTCACATTCGATGTATTGGATAGTCGACAGTATCTAACTCGATTATGCTTCGTTGCCGTGAGCTATCCTAGCCATGATTTCATTTGTCAAGCTTCGCCTACGAATATCTCTCAATCACTACTGCGGACACGATGTGCGGCAAACAACGTGCAATAGGGTTCTATCGAGGATATATTGTATATATATATGTTAAGTAATCATAGGAGACAGAATAATGCGAGAAAATTATCATCATAAGTGCCAGTGTTTATGCTCAAACGCTGTCAGACCCCTTCAGCACCTGGGGCATCTCAGTATAGTTTTGCCTAGGCTGCTGTTAGCAAAAAACTGTGCTGTTATATGGACGCAAATATAAACTACACTAATCCGGCTTTTTAATTTCTGCGGCTTTTCAATCCGCCTCATTATATTCAAAGTGGATGAAATTTTAGCGGAATATCGGTCATAACAACTATACGGTAGTTTACTAATTGTACCAGACCAAACCCTGTTCGCCCTAGGACAAAATAGCAAGCTCGTCTTGACGAAAAAGAAGGTATCGCTTTCGAAATTTAAACGCAGATCAGATGATTTCCGCGCTGGACGAACCCCATCGAGGTTAAAAAATGCATTGTTTGCCCAAAAATGACAATTTATGTTATTGTTAATGTTCATGCGGCTTCGAAAGAACCCATGAATGACTTCCATGAAATAAGCCAAAACACTTCCAGCTGGATTTGGAAATTCATTAAAATCAAAAAGGCATTTTTAATGCACTTAGATTTTTTATGCAGAAATAAACAGTCGTTTTAGACAGAACAATTTTAGTTATAAATTGGGTCGTTTAGACAGGGTCTAACGGTTAGTGTTTTTAAAGTTATTGGGGCCTATTTGGGCTATTTCGAACTTTTGCATTTTTCGAAACTTCGGCTTGCTGTTAGCCCAAAATTCAGGTCCGCTGCAAATTTTTACATGTAACGTACTTTACTTAAGCGACACTTTGACGAGTTTACTTCTACCAATACTGAAAAATTTTCGAATTTCGTTGAAATATCAGTTTTTGTTTAGATGTTAGAAGAAAAAGCGTCAAAAAGTTCGCCATCCTGTATATAAAATACGTATATTTTTGTTTGTAAAATGTATTTTTTACGGATCATCTATCGGAAGAGCATATGATGTTTTTCGAATTCAGTTTTACTTGGTAGCAAAATTTCACTAAAAATTACCGAATTGGTCGTGTCAATGAGAAGTCTAATTGGCAAACAGCTTGCCAAACATCGTTGACGGGTTGACACAAGACAACAAAAACAATGACAGCATTGGTCGTACACTTAGCATTCTAGTCAGTTGTTTTTCTGGGCTGCGGTTACGTATCCTGCGTCAACGTTTTCTGTGATGAATGTCTTTGTGGGTCAGCAGTCACGAGACGTTATCGCTGTGCTAGGGATAGTTACCAATGAGAATCATCTTGATTTATATTCATGAAGGGGTCACTACCATTGGAGAAGTCAAATGAAATTGAAAGCTTGAATTTTGTGATAAAATAACAGTGGATGACGGAATTCTTGATAGATCGTTATGAAACATCCAAGCGGCATATGTCGTTCTTACGTTCTCCTAAGCGAAATGACATAAGCTTTGTTTTCATCGATTTGATACAGATAAGATTTCTATTGTGCGAGATTTGTTAAAGAAACAACGTAGTAATAATGATAATAGTTGCGAAAAATCCAAAGCTCAAAGGAGCGGCTTCACAATCAGCTTCAGCACTTCAAAAACACCCAAAACCCTATTTATTAAAATGTTTATCACATCTAAATTAGTTCGTATCTGTGCGACATCGTAAAGTTTATTTAATGATTTAAATACCTAGCCTATTACATGAGTGTTCATGTATTTTGTATTTTATCGTTCATTGCGCACATCTAATCGCCATTTCTGAAACTGCACTAGTAACGACAGATGTTATGTCGTTATTGTCATGTCTGGGACATTCATGACCATGTTCAACTCCAGGAAAGCTTCGTTTCCTCAAGCCTCAACCTCTAAGGCCGTCTGGAAACCTACGCCTCGCCAACCATGCAGCTCCATCATGCATGCAGTCCACACCGCAGATTACTGACTCAGTCCCTCAACAAGAACCAGTGAACGCTAATCAATCTTCTCTCACATCACGTTTGCCGGATGTAAATTCATCCAGCGTGCCAACAGGAAGTACGTTGCTATTTGGCTATTTTGATTTACCTAGTGTTTATTACCACATTAGGTATTCTGCTGGTAGATTCTTTCTAGTAGATTCGTGTGTGAAAGTTCTGGCTTTACGATAAAGTGATATGTTGGGTATGATAATGAACATTTCAGATTTGCCCGCGCCTTCCAGTGAAAGCCCCGGTGGTCCATACTTCCCAGAACTGCCTGATATAAACGCCACTTTTTCAGAAGATTGCCTATATCTGAATATTTGGACACCATTTCTCGGCGCACGAACTCGAACCCTGAAAGCCGTGCTAATCTTCATTCACGGAGGAGGTTTTCGAATGGGCAGTGCGTCTGTTGACACTTACGATGGTCGGTAGCATTCAATAGGGTATGGCATGTTGTGACGATTGTTCTGTTAAAATGGCATTGTCACAATAACTTTTTGTCATCTCTTATTGTCAGCACAATCGAGTTAAACAATTTCTCACAAGGCAAGATTATTCCAAGTTTCTAGATAACATGACAATAGCCAAAAGCTGTATTGGGTCACTGATGATTTTTTATAGCTTCCAAAGAGTTCCTAAGTAAATTGTTTGATAACTCCGCGTACTAGAACGCCAAAATCTCTCCGACGATTGTTTTGCTGTTTCTTATTGTATGACGGTGCCAACATATTTCTTTCCAGTCTCAATCCTGTACACTCTGCGGTCGATGTACGTTCTTAGATGCGCATGCGCACACTCAATGCGTACTTATTCTATGTCAAAGTGTTTCACTTTCGATAAAATTAAGAGATTAATGTTCCGAGTTATACATCTGCTGGAATTAATAGGTGTTGCTTCAGAAAGCTAAAAAAAAAAACAAATTCTATCTTCTCCATGTCCATTGATGAATTTGGCACATTAAATTAATCTGTTTTGCTGATATCCAGTTTAAATTATGCAATATCTGACAGGTAATGAATCTGGGTTTCACTTATCTACTAGATATAGGTAAGAGTCGCACAAACGATTCCGTTATAGGCTACTCTGATTAGTCTGAAGTTGAAACGGTTTAAAACAGGATCCCATATACGACTGTGTCTTTGATGAACTACCACTGTCAAAGGAATGCACATCGGTACTCGCATTTACCAGAAGGAAGGCGAACTTCATTTTGAGTTTACGAACTTCGCCAGCACTTCAAAAACTTTACGCTTCTGATTAATTTTCACCATGTTTTTTTTACTGTTTCTTTGTTTTCATGAATTAAGAAAGCTTTTATTTGAATTCACTTTTATTTTCGGCGACTTTTCGTTATTTGGTCCGGAAATTTGTTTTGCTCATTATTGCTCTTTAGTGAACTTGTACATACTTCAACATATTGAGCATCGCTAAATGTGGAATTGACGATGAGTCGGCGTAATCGTCAGTCATTGTAGAGAAGTAGAAACCCGTTCAGGGTGTATAGATTCAGAGTTCTGTGCTTCACTTCAAGGACGCTACAGAGCTCCGTTCGCGGTTCCATCTAATTGACCTTTTGTTGTTTTAGTCGGACGCTGTTAACTTAGCGTAGGCTGATCGTAAAACAGGCAGACGTGCCTGCTTGTAGCATGTTCACATAATTAAATGCATACAAATATGTGAGGTTAAAGAAAGCTAACTATTGTTAGATGCTGACTCATCTGATAAATTAATTTCTTTCCGTGTTAGGAAGGAGGGCATTCGGGGCACAAGTTGACGCCGGAAAAATATTTTTCCTATAATTTTCAGGGTGCTATCAGAAAAGAGCGTGTCAAACATCGAGAAACGTAAAGCTGTATTCCCTTATATTATTAATGCAGAGTTTGAGCAGCTAATTTGATGATAAGTAAGTTACTCGAAATATTCGAAATTAGTCCCTAGTGTGCCAGAGGCATTATTGTTTTTGTGCAGGGATGTCAGCGCTAAGTGGCTCTAACCTTTAGAAACGGATTTAAAAAAGATTAATGTTAACTAAATTTTGATTTTAATAATCCTTTAAATGAACAAATTCTGCTGCAGACGTAGAAAATATGTAAGTATTTGAGTAAATGTTCAATGGAACGCTTAAGGGGAGCTTGATCTCAGAGTTCAATTTCGTGGGGTACTAATGTATACAATATCAATGTCTTTAAAGGGGGTGTCCTTTCAGCCTATGGCGACATTGTCGTGGTATCTTTCAACTATAGACTAGGAGCGTTTGGATTTTTGCAGCTAAATTCGAAGGTGTCCGGAAATATGGGACTATACGATCAGGTATGATGGCGAAAGGGCACACCTCTAATGGTGTTTAAGCCTAAAGCCTTCGTTTCTAAAACTGTATCACACAAGGAAAAAAACAAATAACTTGACGATTTTTTGCGCGTGTTACAAGTGTCATTCCTGATGGTTGTAAATATTCTAGATGCAACAAATAGTTCGCTAAAGTCTAAACGCCGTATCTCTGTATATATATATATGTATATATATATATATATATTCAAGTACTAATCCATATGGTTCGCTGTATACAGGTCCGTGCTTTGGAATGGGTCCAACATAACGTAGAATATTTCGGGGGCGATCCTCAACGAGTAACTGTTATGGGACACGAAGCTGGGGCAGTGTCTCTCGGAATGCTTCTGTTATCGCCTCTTTGCAAGGGGCTTCTTCAACAAGCTGTGCTACTTAGCGGTCAGTGTCGAGCCCGTATTAATCGCTCACATCGGTACAATGTGTGCATGACTAATTCATCTGCGACCAAAAGTTATCGGTTGAACCTGTGTATAATTTCATACGCATAAATATGCAGGTGCTCCGAACTGGCTTGTTGACCCAATGGATAATGAAGACTCGGTGATGAAGGCGAGAAAATTGGCGCGTGCTGCCGGATGTCACTCTCGGTCACGCCACCCTGGACGCGAAGCTCAACAGCTAGGCCAATGCCTCCTCAAGGTCGATGCGGCGCGCCTCGTTAAGGCCGAAGCACAGGTAATTTCAACATTATTTTTAACTTGATGAAGAATCTTTTTGTTAACAACAATATATCGATATAGCTAAAAGCGAGCGATCTAAACCTGTCAAACACGTTCACTTCGAATGGGCTTGCACTATGGTGCTGACATGCATATATAAATACGACGCAGGTTCAGATATATATCTTTTTGTATTTGTATTTGCAACTTTTTCATGCAGCGCAACCTAATTTATGCGGCAACCAAATGGTATCATCGGTTCAAGTAGTTAAAACAAAAATAGCATACATTTTCTTAGAAAAGGCAAAATTCCAAGGGAATAGAAATAAACCAGCAACACTAACTGTAATAGTATTATCTATGGCTTTTAATCGTACGTATGAAGCTATTCTTTGGCTATGTATTTGTACTCGAAATATCTCTGTGCTTAATACTTTTGTGTACTTGGGTACCCACTTTTTTGGGGTCCCATGATGAACCACAAGCAATCTAAACCGCGTTTTCCGTAATTATATGTAAACCTACATGTAGCGGGGGTCGTAGCGTTCCTTGTAGGCGCAGTGCTATTGAATTCACAAATCATAAAAATATATTGCCTGCCCACAATCATCAGCAATACCCACCCATACATCCCCAAACTATGCAGAAAAGGTCGATCAACTTTGACTAACTTTGAGTCACGGAATCGTCGTTATATGTGTAAAAAATACCTTCTCGATCCAAAGCAACTTGGTTTGTTTTTGGAAGTATACAAATAATATTTTTTATAGATTTATCATAGGATTTTTATAAACACATCATATAAAATTCATCATGGGACCTTAAAAAAGTGAATAGCCAAGTTAAGTGTACCTTGTTTTTACCATTACACAGGTATTGAATGGCAGCTACTATAGCTTTATGCCTCGTCAGAGAGATATGATTATCCCTATGGATCCGGTTGTTGCAGTAGCCAAGGGGCATGTCCTTCCCGTTGATGTCCTTGTTGGTGAGACAGATTACCTTTTCGCTTTACTGGTGGATAATAAGATCCCACTGTAACAAGGGGTGACCATCGATAGCGGGTAACTGGAACTTCGCTTGCCACATATCAATATTTTAAGTAATCAATTTAAGAAAAGCGGTCAGCGATGTTGTTGTTGAGTCCACAATTAATAGCCGGAACCCATTTACGTACAATGTTGATTGAAACGATTCTGTCGTCATTAATCTTTTTTATTAACCGCTGATCACAGTTTTATTACCTTACAGGTTTCACTGAGAATGAAGGTTTCATGCAGGCATACAAACTTTTCCCCACGCTGTTCAACTTCGAGCGACCTGTTAACCTCTCATTACAGGATGCCGAAGATATCCTCATGCAGGCGGTCGAACTATTTCCGGCCACGGCTAAGGACTACATGAAAGAAATGTATTTTGGTACGCTCAGCTTTCCACGTCGTTTTTCCCAAAACACTATTTTTGTTGTCGTTCGACTTCTCCATTTATCAAGTAAATCAACTGCTAAATATAACACGTCTGACCTTCCAAATACAGGAAGACTAAGTACTTCGTCGTCGCCAGACGATATTCGCGATGGACTGGCACAGGCCTTCGGAGATATCTTTGTCACCTGTCCTGCGCGAATATTTGCAGAGTCCTACGGAGATCGGCCTATGAATGCATTCCTGTACAAATTCACGCATCGGTATGACATCGCAGTTGACCATATAGTTCCCGCAATATTTAAAAGATATTTGTAGTCTTTTGCAGTATCAAAGAGCTTTTCGCTTCTTTTAAATATAGCTTAACTCAAAGAGAAGTTGTTTTTAAGCGAGCACTACTGCGATATATAAAAGCGTCAAAAAACTAACTACAGATTAAGCTGGAAAGCTCCGGCATATGATAAACGTTTTCTATATACTAAATTTAAATATAGTCGGCTTGTCGTTAAAGTACCTAGCGTGATAGGGAGTGCATAACGTACTGGACCTAGCAGTCAAAATCAATTAGAAGTAATTTGTTACGCTTGCTCAATGGGTCAAAACACTGATTTCAGGCCATTGTTCTCGACTAATCCTCCTTCCGCACGTGTGACGTCCTTCGATGATGTGCCATATATTTTTGGTGAACCATTACGATACCCAGAACGTTTTTCCCTTGAAGATATTTCAATCACCAAGATGATGATGAACCTTATCACGAGTTTCGTTAAAACAGGGTTCGTCTTATTATTATTGTCGTTGATATTATTTTTTAAACGTTAGCGAATTTGGACCGGCATATGTCAACAGATGCAAAAAAGGAGTGTCCTCCCTAAATGTATAGAAGATCAACAAAAAATAAGCTTTGACAAAGTTCCGGGTTCACGAACTATGTATTTTTCAAGATTCTATCAGATAATCTTGGTGCTTAGCGTAATAAAAATTCAATATACTTTTGTCCTGAGCAATTTGCAGAAATCCGGAACCTGTGAAGGACTACATTGTGCCAAAGTTCGAATCCCCAGATCTACGGTATGTTGATCTGGGTAGCGGTGGCGTCGTTGAACGGAAATATCCTAGCCGCAGGTGTGACTTTTGGAAAAAATTCTACCCGAAGAACACGTAGCGACTAAAGCAACGAAGGCCATTTTCCATTATCGCTAAGGCGGCTAGATAATCAATTTCAATAAAAAAAATAATTAAATATTTAATAACTGAGAACATTTTATCATCAGAGATGAACGAAGACAGAAAGAAAAACGACTTTGACTCACCATTTGCCTATTAAATTGAACTAAAAAGTAAAAAATCATCAGCTTAAAAATATCTTTGTGTCACCATCTTTTTTCTGGACCATGTGCCCTAAGGTGGTTTGAAATTCAGCCAATCCAATTTTGCTGTTGTTTTTTTTCTACAAAAGTAAATTAAAAGGATTTTACTGATGTACTTGGTCACATGTTCGGAACTTTATTACTTTTTTGAAAAAAAAACTTTACATGAAATTTTTAAGGACAAACAAAAGATTTTATATTGCTGATTCAGTCATTTGCGCAGAGACATTTTTCTTTAAAGAACGAGGCAGCTCAGCCTCGCTAAGAGATAAGACCTCTTTAAAATGAAAAAGTTTGCCTGATCTGAAATACACACGCTACAGCGTTTGCCCCATGTAACTGAAGGACTGCGAAAAATGGGTTGATCAGAGAAAACGGATGAAGCGTTGAAGTAGCCAAAAGCCAGCCTCCGAGTATCACGAGAAAGACCATTTTTTTTACTATTTACCAAGCTGCCCTGATGTCTATAAATAGCAACCGATTATTGCTTTATTTAAGGGGAAGCGATTGCAATAGAAATAACATTACGAACGGTTCGAATGTTCATGTAATATATATAGATAGTACGCTAAGAGTTAATACGTGTGAAGGGATCCGCAGAAGAATTTTGCGAGAATAAGCGACAAAAGAAGTCTCTCTCTTAAAGGATGTAGCCCTTATCCAGACACCGTGAGTGGCGTTCATAAAGCTACCTATATGTATATGGGCGTATTTGTTAAGTATTGATCGACCAACTAAGTAATAAATATTTGGAGTGGAAATGTCAAATCGCGCGCACTTATTTTCTGGGGTTCACCCCCCCCTGCTCATCTATAGGAATTAAGCACAACATGGTAATATTAGGGAGCAATTAAGAGAACCTCATCTGCATATCGACGCAATCAAATTTCCTACTGGGGGATGTGAATCGCGTTATTGTTGAATGGAACTTAAAAAAATAAGGTAATTGCCATCGCTTCATTATGGAGCAGGTAGAACTGTGTTTTACTAAGTAGCTTATTTTCGCGAGTTTTCGCTTGTAGTTGAGGCGAGGAGCTCCTGGTACATAAACTTTCTAATCACTACTAAAATGTACAACCTTTTGCATTTTATATTTTATTAACATACACCAGTGGCCACAGATATGGCTTGTACTGGACAGAGATTCTACGTTTTTTTTTTGTTTGACATCGTGGCTGACGAGGTTCAGTCACGTTTTAAAGATATAGTCCGTTTTGGTATTAATTGACAAAGTATTTCTATGCACGTTACTTTATCAAACAAGATATTTTATTAAATATGTCTGGCTATAATTTTTTGTAGGCCTGCATCCGACTTGTTAGTTCGACGCAGATACAATAGAGACTGAGGAATAGGTTTACTTAGGAAGCTGCAAGGACCTGAAACGAGAGATGCTTTCAAAATGGAAGAACAATTATGTGCGATCGTTCTGGTTCGTAGTCTGTCTACTCGTCTGCCCAAAAGGATCGTCACGACTGAAATCGAATCACATCCTTTGGTTTAACTCTGCCAGATTTAGGGTCATGTGGCTGTTCATACAAAGTGTTTTTCAAAGGCCAATATTGGTCTCAGTTTATTAAGGGATGCATTGTTCTTAATAGGACCCCTACAGGACACTATTAGTTTTATTGCCGAAAGAAAGAATATATAGAGAAGAAAAAAAACAACTGAACAGGAATTATGTAAAGCCTTTCCCTTGATTTCAAGTCAATTGATAAGTCTAATAGTGACGATTTTTAATTTACTGTGCATGATCTTTCAACTCTAAACCTTTCATTATGGCTAGAAGCCTAAATGTATATGAGTAAGGCTGAAACTCCGCACCATGTTTTGGTGCCATGCGAACGCTAATGTAGCCAGCGAAGCGCTGAAAACAGAACAGATCGTCTTTCACAGCCACACGTTCCACTGCCCCTCAACTGAGGCGCTATGTCATGCAGAATGACACTTCTTTGCGAAACACCAGGGGGTCGCTGCTTGAAATTCTATTAACAACACATTTAACACGATCTGCATAAATAACCAAACACTTCGTGACTACTACCTAAAACGAAGTCTATGAAATCACTATTTTCATTAGTTTTAGTTTCTAATGGTAAACGGAGTATAGCCCTAACGCTCGGTCGTTGGTTGAAATACTTTGTTCACTGGACTCCGTTACCCCCTCAAGGATGGACCTCGAGTTTCAAAATATCCTGTAGACACAAGAGGTTGGCTGTTCTTTGGATGAAGCCGAACGTTTTACATGCTAAACGCTTTATATTTTTAGGCAAGGCGCGTAAAAAAGAAATGATGCTTAAATGGGTTTGGTTTTTTTTCGCAGTCTGGACAGCGGACAGTCGACAGGAGTCATCTTTCTTCTATTTTTGTTGCAAGTGATACTCTATGATTAACTTCCTACGCGTAGCCATTCACTGAAAATAACAATGTCCACCTGTGTCAGAATTCCAAGGTCTCTCTATAAGCGGAAAAAGAAATCGACATGCCCATCGGAAGACTCACCCTATGCTCGCTTAGAGCAACACATGAAAAGGTAAATATCGATTGAAAGATTTAAGCCTGAAGTGGTAACTGAAGATACGCGTTGGCTGAATCGAGAAGTAATAAGTGGAGCAGCAGACCATATTTAAGCTATAGATTATGGCCGGGACGTAGTTTGTGATCCATAACTGGATCTGCCTTTGATACCTATTTCATACGTTTTATGTGGAAACGCGTCTCAAATTTGGCACCATTGTGTCACAACAATTATTCCGTTAAAATTACAGCTGCAGTTACATGGATGCTTCTTCATTAAGCAATAGGTAAAGCGGCTTCATTAGAGTGTTTAACTGCGAGTAAATATTTAGCACCAACGTATTTTGTAACTATTTTCAACTACTAGAATCTTCTTTTTTATGAAAGTTGTATGAGTTTTGCATCACACACATCTTGTACACACACGTTTTGTACCTTTAATTGTAATTATGATTGATTGCTTATTTAATTAATAATCAATTATTTAGGGAAGTTATTTTCTCTAGTAACAATAGTAGGAAGTACTGAACCTATGTAGCACCAAACCTAAACTTAAGCTTCTAGAAAGACCAAGTGTTTTATCATCCTTATATTCAGCATATGTTTTTCGGTAAGGCTTTGTAAGCAATCTCTTCTATACCATAATGACACAGGGGAACTTCAAGTGTAGGAATTGCTTCTTCGCGATGACTATACATTTAGGCCGATACTTTGGTTTTCTAATCGACTATTAGTTGGAATAAAAATAATTTGCTTTAGAAAATCGTTGCTCGTTGCAATGATAATGAGTCAAATATTCCTATTTTAGATTCTTCCGACGGCTGGAACGACGCTACTCGCCCTGGATGGTCAATGCAATAGCAGTCGTCTTGCTTCTCGTCTCACTCATTTTCGCCAGTTTCTTTTTTTACATCTTCTACGAAATCAACTTTAATAGGGGTCAACAAAGCACACCGACAAAGCTCAACTATATATTGAAATAAGCACTACGTATATTTTGTTTAGTTGGCTGAACGCCACCGGCTATGCTTGTGAAGCTCTCCGACCTGTAGATGCCTATAGTAATTTTTTTTTTAATAGTTCCTGTTTAGTTTTCCGAGTTTCGATTGAGAAGTAAACTTGTATATACGCATTCTATATAAATTTGCAAACGAACATTTCGTGCGGCGTATGCACTACCGCTAATACTAATAAAAAGAAACAGTGGCATACCATCGATACTGTGAGGTACTATGAAGTACATTTCTCTCATACGTGATACTTGAAAAGCTTCATCTTTAAGGTAAGCCTGGATTGTTTTTATGGAACAAGTATTTTGAAAACAGCATTAAAAAAAGTGTTTGTTATTCCCGACGAATATATTTTATTCAGCACTCGATAATAAAAATGCCAAACCTAATATCTAGAATGGACGATTACTTTATTAGGATTGTGCTTTACATATACAAGACTAACGCGAACGAAGATTATTAAATGGTTGTTTATTTGGAAATGGAAATACTTGGAAAAAGTCGCTGAAAGTCTTTCAAATGGGACGATTTGCTGAACTACCATCGTTCAGTAGCGTAAAGTACTGGTTACCTCTCAACTACAATCAGTCGTATTGAGCTAACTCTGTTGTCCAGTGTCCCCATTCAATTTTAGCGTTTTTCTATTACGAAACTTAGAAACATTTTTAATTACCGAATATATATATACCGAAATAATTAATAATTTTAATTACCGAATCTTTAATTTTCTACGCCACGCTGCTATGAAAGCTCGACGCCAATCAATAGCAATGTTAACCCGTGTCCCACATTTACACTTATATAGGTATGAGTTATCACTATTTAAAGGAAAACAGTTCGCTTATGAAGTATGAGTCATGTGTTTATTCAGACAAGTTATATTAAAATAGTTTCCCTGTATATATTCCGGAAAGCTACCTGCATATATGTGTGTTATGAAACAAGGCATGCTGTGAGATATACTCAAAGATACACTTTCATTGTTTTTATAAAAGTTTCAGCTATAAGGCACAGTTAATCTAGCTAATTAATATGTCAGGAAGCACTAGCCTATTTCAAGGCTGATATTAAGCAGATCTGGCTACGATGAAAGTTTGTCAACTTCCATTTCAGTGTCCTTATTTATACGCACTCTACAAAAAAACCCATATGGTGGTAATAAGTGTGTGTTCAGATGCGTCATTGTTCACGACGTTCATTGGAATATAATTTCCATTATCTGGTCTATAAATTTACAAATCGTCGAAATATAGTTTACATAGTGGAATGTTGTTTCTATAAATTGGCTACTATTCGACCTCTTTTGTGGAAGCTTCAGCTGGATCGTCGATCTCAACGTTTGTAGCCGGCAAAAGGTCCATAACAGTTTCTCTATACACAACTTCAATTGTAGGCGATCTCGTAATGTGTAGTTGCCATCGTACTCTCTCTGTTCGTTCGTGAGCTTTGACAGATGTCTGGGTTATCAGCAGTCACGGCGTCGCCATCGTTCACTTTGACGTCCTCACGAGCATCTTCAGGTGAATTTTTTCCTTTATTTTTTTTTAGATTCCGTGGCGTTAATTCCATTAACGGCATTCGACATTTGTGGAACATCGGTGGAAGTTTTAGCATTATTATCTTCGTGAAGCATTTCTCCAGATTTCGTCATAACAGAACCAGCGTCGACAGCGACACCAGTCGATTTTGATATTCTAGTGCCCTCTTCAGTTTGATCTTCGTGAGTGCCTTCTGTGGTCACTGTGTTGGAATGAAGCTCTATAGTACTCCATGCAATGGTTGTCACTCTCTCGTCACTGAAACGTGTCTGGTTTTCACTCTGGGTCGGGTCGAACTCTGTTTCATCAGCAAGCACCTCGGTGATCTCTTCAGTGATGATCTTTTCAGTGCTGTCTTCGCGAGCAACACCAAGCGTACTTTTGATGTCATCCTCAAGCTGGTCCGTTGTCGTAACTTCAGCGCTGTTCTCAAGAGAAACCTCAGTAGTATTTTTAATGTCATCTTTGGCTTTTCCAATGGTCTTCACTTTAGCGCTGTTTTCACGAGCAAGCTCGGCCGTGCCTTTGGCGATATCTTCAGGCTTTTCAGTAGTCATAGCCTTATTACTGTCCTCACGAGGAACCTCGGTCGGGCTCTGGACATCATTGACGAAGTTCGGGGTTGTCATAACATCATCGTTGTCCTCAAAAACAGGCTTGGCGGAAGCCTCAGCGTCGTCCTCGGTCTTTTCCATTGTTGTCATCTCAACGCAATCCTCACGAGCAACATCGGCTATCACTTGAGTTGTAGCATTATAGTTTCTAACAAAAGTAGACGTGCTCTTCCTACCATCGCTCACAGCGACTTTTACAGTCGCATTATCAGTCGTCGATGTGTCACTTGCGTTAGTTGTTGATGGGGCTTCAGAAGCTTTAGGTGACAAAGTAAAGAAAACCTAAAAATGTCAGATATTTGCCCTTCACTTCTTAGCAAAAAAAAAACTAGAATATACTTAGATGGAAAGTATACTAGAACAATAGATGATAAAAACATCTGCTTATAATAAAGGATATCTGCTTTGCTGACTCAATCATGCGCCATCCGTAAACGGAGATGATTCGCAACGGGCGTTACACTAACATCGATCTTTTAATTCATCAAATATAATAAGTTTTAAACAAGCTGAATACATACTTAGTTGTTGTGGACAATAGAAAATCAGTAAATTATGTACACTCGATATTTAGTACCAAAAAAAAATAAGCCAGTAATATATTCAACCTGATCCCAGTAGATATTTATAAGCACCGGCTAAGTTGTTTCCGTTTGAAAATCACTAGAACGTACTTAAGTAGGACTGTATACTGTCTGCGGCAGCTTTCTGTTTGATAAGGGATTGAACCTCGATTAAGAGCTTCTTAATTAGAGCATTGTTTGCTTCGGCCTTTGAGCCGAGTTCAGCGAATCCTTCCATGACGAACTGCGTATCCTTGTGCTTTGGCATGACCGGTTTCCTGGAAAATTCATTGATTTGAAAGTGCACATACAAAACTCACTAAACAATACATAAGACTGTAGATACCAGATATTCAACGAACGTAGTGCGTACTTGAATATTTCAAGCTTAACGCTGGGATAGGTTAACGCCCGGTTAAGGTACTGGCGTGCGATAGGCAAGAACAAAACGTTGCGGTATCATGATAAAGTAACAACACTTACTGGTGTACTTTTGGACTGGACACGTAAGGCCTCAACATCGATGGACCTATGTATGGCGCCCTATATACCTCGTCAGACTGAAAGGAAGCAACATTGGCAACAATGTATTCTTTCCTGTCAAAGTATATCTTACAGAACAAAAATTCATTGAGATATGTTTTGATTAATACGTGCGGAGGAATGAAAATATTCAGAATATCGTCGGGTAAATTTTGAAAAACGATGACTAAGCACATATGTTCTTAGAATTGTATAATCTAAGACCCCTAGCTTAGTCTCGAGAATTGCGTTATATATACGTACCATATACGCGAAAAAGTGGCGATCGGCAGCGACAGGTATAAAAAAATGGCTAAATATGTAAAACGAATGACGGTGAAGGTCAAGGCGTCGATGCAACATCTGCATCGGCGCCTTGAAATTAGGCGTATGCTTATTAAGCAGTGTCACATTCTTATAAGCTGTATAAATACACAACACACGTTTCAAGCCGCTGTGTATCATATTGATTGTTATTTTTTTGACATTCATGTCTTTACGGTACAATATATTGCTTTTTTTAATTTAATTCAATTTCCTGATCGAAAGAGCGTCGCGGACGATTTCAGTCAGCTACGAAAATTGCAATAAGACGCATGTGATTTGCAAATGAAAAACAGGCCAGAAAATTGCAAGCTATCGGAGGTGTTGTCTTAAAAACTGTCTTCCATCCATAAACGGTTTGGAAGATCATTATCCACACGTTCTTATAATCGAAAGCAGTAACTTTTGTTGTCTAATCCTTCAGAATCTCCACCAGAGGGCACTTGAAAGTGCAATTTCTTCAAAAATGTTGAACTTGACAATTAAAGGCCGGTAAACTACTAGAGACAGTGATTCTCAATCAACTATAAGTTAGGGGTTGAAATGTCATATTTGCAATCCCATTGATTATGATCCCAAGAACTTCCATTCACTTGTCCTGCCGTATCGTACCGGTGCGGTTCAAGTGGTAGATGGTTTGGACTACAAAAATGTCCGACGAGGCAGACGATTTCTAACAGTTTTACTTACCCGTAAAGCTGCACTGTCAACTCCAGTTGCCAACACAGTCAAAATTACTCCGTATCCTAGGGGTAGCATGGCTCCCCTGTAGAACGCGCAGTGCCAAGTCCAGACAAACACAAAGGTCTGACTACAGTAAACGCAGGACACAGAATGGCCTTGGACTCTGGCCAAAAAAATGGTCCACAACTAAAATGGGTATGTCGGCGTTTGCCAAAAGCAATCCAAGTAGAAAGTTGTTGCACGTTTCAAACTACTTTGTTGCTGGGTCAGAAGTAAACGTCGACGTTCGTGCATACGAGCTGTTATCGTCACACGCATCGATGTACTGCTAATAGACGCATCTCTGGGCAAACCATGCTACGTCCGCACACGGGCGACACATTCAATCTGACGCGCTAATCCTTCTGCAAGTCTATAATTTCGGAGTTTTAAAATTCTTCGAACTTCAGAACGAAGATGTAGAATCTATTACTTATGATGGTGGCTCATATTATATTCCAAACGATAATATGTTTTTAGGGTATAAACGAAGGAACGAATAGATTTCTTGTGGTATTTACTTTTCGAAAACGAGTCTGTATACGTAACCACTTTACACCATTCGCGTTATTTTACTGATAAAAGACTTTCGATGAGGGTCTAGGAAGCGGTTGCAACATCATCTCTCGTGAGCTTATACGTTTAACTGATAGTCACAAATGAGCTCTAACCGTTCTACACGTTCTAGATTGGCATCACCAAACAACAAGTGGGCAGCTCGCAATTGATGCGTCTTGCAAGATTGTCAATCGTGCAATACACACATACAATGTAGCGAGCTAGGTCTCTTGAGAAGCGAAAAGAAACAGTCTCCTCAAGACTGCATTAATACATAATGAAGTAGGTTTCAATACGAATTTATATAAAAGGATAAAGACGAAAGAAGTTTGGGCTCATACTCTTCCCTCCTCTGACCACCCGTAGTAATAGAAGAAACAGATCAACAACAAACCTGGTTTTGTTTCGAACAACGAACAATAAAAGTCAGCTATTTTTAGTACACCGGCTGTTGTTCCTGACATTTTTGCTATTTTGATTTGCTCTTTCTAGGGTAGCCGGTCAGGCTGGCTTTAGGTGTATTCCTACGAGTATCGTCCTTGTACATAGAAGTCTAACATCTCAATATATTGTTATCTATAAACGTTTAAATACAGATACCGCCCTTGCAAAATACAATATAATGTTTATTTTCTCTTATATGCGCGAATTTGAAGCACTACTTAAAATAACAAAATAGCCTGAACTAGTTTCCAATCGAATTCGTGCTATTTAACCTGATAAAGTACTGATATTATCGAACACTAACTCATGAAACAGTTACATATTGAGCACCGTACAACAGTGACATCTCCGTAAATATTTTATTTAATTGGATCTTTCATGTACTCATTTTAAAAGTTTTAGGGGAATATAGCTAGGTATATCGCGTGGACGCTCAAGCTCACCGCGCTGATACCCATTAAAACTTGTACTTTTAACCATATGAGACCCTTTTTTAACCATCCAAACATCAACACCATTTCAGTGTGTAGCCCCTGTAATAAGTTGTCATTTGTTCGGAAGCTGTTGCAGAATCTGCACCGTCCTTTTCAGGCATTGCCTAAAAGCGGCCGATAAGCCGGCCGCCAGAGCTGTCTTCTTAAACAGTCCCTTTAAACACATGATACATTTTATGCAAGACGCTTTCTTTTTCCCCTTTTCCTCGGACTTCATTATTTACCTTAAAAGGATTTTGGTGTACTTCACTCTAGTGAACTAGAAAAGAGGCTCTTTCGAGCAATATTACGGGTTGTACTAGGGCATTCGTCCTGTAACCTTACTAGTTCTATGGATGCTTTCATAAAAGATGTTTTCTATAGTTTTTCATTAAATGAAATAGAATGTTGTTTTTTTTCCATTTTCAAGGACCAAGGAAAGCTTATTTGAGCTGCAGGACAGAAAGGATCTGTTGTCGCAGACCAGATGTATCTACATTCGCAGGACGCACAAAGCTGTCGCTGAGAACCCTGACCCATTATGAGATAAATATCACAGATTTTTTTTGTAATGCGCTTCTTAGTTCTTTTTTAGATGACACGAAATCTCTCATCTGCTTTTAGGGACTAAGAAGCGCTTATTCCATTCTAAACAGGTCGTTGCATTTTAATAAAATTTTAACATATCAATACACAACTGGTATCAACTAAACTTCAGGTATTATTAGAGGTAAAGACAGGAATCTTTGACAATAAGAGTCGTTGAGGGATAGTACATATCCTAGAATGCAAACGATTCAGACATATTTCAACGCTACTTTCGAACTGGTATATATTTATATATAAAGATACTGCAGAACCGGTAGTAATGCAGATATACCAATTGATCCGAGGTGTATATTACTGAAGCACACCTCACTCAAACAAAATTCAGTGAAGCAAATTCAGTGAAAGTTTCGAGCAAAACACACACAAATATATATGAAAATACAGTGACATCCATGTCAGTGTGAATCTTCCTGTACATAGAACTTCAACAACTTCACTTGATGTGAAACCGAAGACTTTTTTTAACAAAAAGAAATATTAATTAATGTTATACTAAAACTATTACTATTATATATGTATATTGTGTTTTGTTAATAATCCTATTCTATATAATAATAGCATGTTTTTATATATATGTTTTACAAAGAAAAAGGCCAAGCCTAGATTTCGCTCAAATTGCACTAATATTAATCCTTTAATTTATTAAGGTTAAGATAAAAATAAGCGCCGATCGAATTTTATTAGTTTGTATTTTCGTGATATCCAGATAATGGCAAGGATTGGAACAAAGTCGCGGTGCAGGTAGAACAGATACCGATGCACGACCAGCAAAGCTGTGCGTCAAAGCCCCATAACATCGTGGCAAAGGGCATTAAATTTGAGACTTCAGTTAATAAGTTTACGCATTAACCTCTTGAGAATAAATTATTACAGGGTACCTTTTTGTGAAAAAAATCCAAATTTTCTTTTTGTGCAATATTATCTATTAAAGCTTTTGGCGACACATTTTATAATCTGATAAATTATGTCAACCGAATATGTGATATTAAAAAACGTTAGTTAGAAAATGTGGCCTTCGTAGCACTTCATATCAAGAAAGCTTTTCGGCTTTTTTTTTTTGTGCATAGAACTGGTCTATGTCTTAAGTCATTTTTAGCAATAACTACAAAAAATTAGGTAATTGGCTGAATTACTCTTTATCAACTTCAGAACTGAATTATCATTCGATTTGAGTGGTAAGGGTCCATTCGACGAATTTCGAACCTTCACCTGTCGCTGTTATAACGATTTTCGAGATTATGCGGGGGCCCATTTAACCAAACAAACATCATTCATCTAGACCATAAACTAGAATATGAACTTTGTGGACTAACTATTGTCGTTAAGTTAGCGAACAGGTTATTGGAAACTTTAACTCCGTATCACTCCATTGCTCTAGTTCACTACAGTGAGAGACGGATAGGTTCACATTTTTATGACTTTCTAGTGGCATATAAGCCTTCTAGCTTAGGCAAGACCATTCCATTTCATGTACTACAAGCGTCTTTGAGATCAGTTAACATTAACATATTCGTCGTCAAATCCTACCGGTTATGACACAGGTTCCTAATTTTCCTGTTCAATTCCTAAAAACGTTTCATCACGTATTGACATTAAGTGGTACCTTATATCATCGTTATGTTGATTTAGCACCAACTACCTAAATAGGCTCCATTCTCTTATTATTATTATTATCATTTGTATTATTCTAGCCCTACAAGCCGCTCCATCATGTGTAGACCCAAACTTACCAAAAAATCCGATAACTCCCACAGAATTATCATCATCTTAGTCTTCTTTCTTTTATTGTAGGTAAGCAAAAATTCAAATCCTCGCTATTTCCCAGCTACCCATCAGTGCGCCGCCCATTGATGCGCTGAGAAAAATCTACTTGCCAGCGTACGCATGTCTATAAATATAGGTAGGGTTAGGAACGTGTAGAATAGCACCAAAGGTGTAAGCCCACTTAAATTCCTGCGGGTAAGCCGCTACGTATGAAGCGATAGGTTAGTGAAGGCAAGAGTTTGAGGAATACCAGAAGCTGGTTGTCGAAAATGGGATTTGACCGGCCGACCCATTGGCGAGAATCGGCGATATCGGCCCTTTTAAGCGAAGGTTTTCGAAGAGTTGTAGGCGGTACTTGTTCTGTTCATAAAGGCTAATTTCAAATGTCCACCTGGACATGAAGTGAGCAGTTAGTGCGATGCCAGGCTCACGAATAGTGCCAGCTATGCGTAGAGACTATTACTAAAGATAGACGTATTTGGAAGTTTTTTTCTTTATCTTATAGTGGAACCCGCTCGTAGTCCTCTGTCTCTAACACCTTTCACTTTCTTTTTCTCGTTCACCGGATGAATTTGAATCCTGAAAATGGCTGGGCGTTTACAACGATCGTCAGCAACATCAAATGAAGAGTTTGTTCACCTACCATTATATTAGGACAACCTTGAAGGTTGCCCGTTCTATCGATCGACCTTTAACCAACGAATAGTAAGATGTCTGTGTGTTTGTGGCTGCACCTTTGTACAGTAATGCTATAATGCACGATTCGCTGTGTAGATAATGTGTCCGTATACTTCTACAATTTACAGATGTGCAAGCAGGAATAGGGCGAGGGCGTAAGATGGAAGTTCTATTTTAAGAGCAGGTTTTGTCGCTCTCAGGTCCGTTGATACCTTCGTTTGGATTGTTGGCCTGTCCGTCGTTCATCGGCCGACAGCTAGCCGTCACCGCCGTTTGCCCCGCGCGTGCTCGCGCGGTTCAACTGATGATGGAGGTTCATCGGCGCTCGAAATACCTGCGATCACGATAACTTCGAATCAATGTTCTGTTTAAATTATTCCTCCTCACTTACTGGTCGTACTTTCTGCCGGTGCTATTTGACCCCCTCCAACTATGAGCCTTTCTCTGTCCTTTTCTTTCACAAGCGCATACAGAAGAATTAACGACGACACCTCACGATGGGGTGTTGTTTCCTGCCGAAAGACCCCCTGCGCAGCCTCTCCTTCCTTCTGGTGGCAGTCTATGTAGCTTTTCTCTCCCGCTTATGCTATTCGACAGCACGAGGGAAAGCGACGCTTCATGAACAGACCAACAATAGACCTAGCCTCCTGTGTCGACTGTGCTGCTACTCCTGCTGTCACTACCTGATCGAGATGGCGGCCCTGCGTAGCGTCGTAGGCCAGAATGGGGAGGCAATAGGCCCCAAAATGCCAGCGAGTCCAACCAGCAGCACTTTGGGTGC